AAACATGCTCTTTGTAATATTCTCAGAATATGCTGGGAAAACATGATTCGACAGGATTTGAGCATCTTGCTATCATTAAAGGAGAAGAGATATGAAATTCATGTGAATTTTCTCAATTGTTATCACTTAAATTGTCATGCTTATAATATATTAAATATATAACTTATAAGTGTTTTATTTTTTTTAGAAAAATACAAAATAGAAGCTCTGGTTACACTGTACTGATTGTCCACTTTAGTCATTCTACTAACTATAAGTAACTTTGCAACTACATGTCAACTAGCAGTCATTAGTAGGCTGTCTGCTTAAAGGGATAGCCAATTCTGTCATTTACTCACCCTCAAGTTGTTCCAAACCTCTGTGAGTTTCTTTCTTCTGCTGAATACAAAATAATATATTTTGAAGAATGTTGATGACAGTAGCCATTGACTAACATAGTAGGAAAAAAATACTGGTTAGTGGTTACCAAAAATATAATAAACTGGTTACCGACAAAATATCTTCTAAATGATGACAAAATGTAAATTTTTGGGTGAACTATCCCTTTAATATCTGCTAACACTTTATTTTGATGCTTCCTCTACAGACATTAATTTGAGCCGGATCCTGGTCCGGAAAATGTCCGATTTTGGATTTTTTGCATTTAGGCATTTGTTTTTAAAGTGTATAACATGGTGACAGTGCATGTGTGTGAGAATGTCAGGGCAGCGAGTGCAGGTTTATACAGATGTATTTTGTTTTGCTATTGGCCCTAAACGTATTTTTGACCAATCAGCTTTCTTAAGTTCAAAATCATTCTCATTGTTTGGTGTTTCTTGCTGCTTTTTGTTTTGCAGAAAGTTTGGAGAGAGTGCATAGGCCTAAACTTGACGAATTATTCCAATAAAAATAAGTTAACATCACCAAAATGTCAAAAAGACAGTCAAGCATATTATCATTGTTCATATCCGTGAGTAAAGCTGAGGGTGTTTCTCATCTCGAGAAGATGGATCTAGTCTGTTCCCCTGGACAATTCAGCTGATAGTCATCGGGATAGTGAAAGAAACTTGTGAATGATACTTTATAGTTATACTTTTACGTCACAACACAGAATTATTCATTTACAAATTAAGCACTGACTATATGTTACTTTACAAGTACATGTCAACTAACCCTTCTAACCCACAGTCTACTAATAATCTAATGAAAGTTAGTTGACATGTAGTTGCAGAGTTACTTTATTTTAAGGTGACGCTGTTACATTATACTTACTCAAATAAGTTCTAAGTAATACGAATTAACTACATGTACTGTGGTTTGGTTTAGGGTTAGTTACTTGTAATTATGCATACTTTACTGTTTAGTAATGTACACGTCACCTTCAAATAAAGTGTTACCGAAAGTGAACCATCAAAATAAAGTGTTATTGAAGCTCTCACAAGCGTAATGTGATGACAGAATATTTAGAGCAGTTGGTAACTGACTGAAAGAAAAAATCTTTGTAAAGCCAAGAGTCCTGAAACAAGATGTTGGTTGGTTGCTTTTATTTTCCTTAGTTGTGGGAGCAAGTGTGAAAGGTCCCGGTGTGGTATGTGGTGATGGAGGTATTGATTTTTAGAGCCTCTATGTGTGCCCTGTTAGTGGGGTCAGAGGTTGGGAACGTGCCCTGTTAACCCCACGACCAGTCTGGCCCCAAAGTCTGCCATGGGATTTTGGGAGCCCAGAGTATTTATGACCAGCCCTAGCTAACCTCTGCTACCCTAAACCCCTCAGAGGCTTCCCCACAATCCTCACCTATTCAAGACTAGACTTTACTGGGATTTTTGTTGTTGTTTTGTTTGCCGATGATGAATATAACACGTAGGATATCAGTACGTCAATGTCTGATACTTCATCTCTAATGAACAGTTGGTTCATTTCAAAGAATTTGGGTTTGATATAATGTTGTTGTGATGAGTGGCTGTACTCACACACACATGTGGCATACAGTCGTTGATGTATTGATGCCGAAACTTTTCAGCATGTCAGTGTTTCGATGCTGCACATCTGGTTTCCTAATTTTCCTTCCCCCACTCCCTCGATGTCATGACACTGTTTTGTTATTCTAAGACGGGATGGGAGGGAGCTGAGATGGACAAGAGGAAATACTGATGAGTGATGGTTCTGCATCTAACATATCAAGTCTCTTTCTCATCCTTTGTTTTGTGTCTGTGGCAATGGGCATTAGTGCTATTCAAATGATAAATATATAACTTATATTCAGTTTATTCTGAAGTGTATAATAATACCAACTTACAACCATCCAGAAAACAGTTATTGTTTGAGTTAATACACATCTTATCAAGAAATTGCAGGTTTAGTTTCAAAACGGTAGAAATGTAACATTTGGAAATACCTACTTATCTTTAATGTTACTTTTTATTATAGTGATTGTAAAATAATAATAACTTCCACCAATTAAGTATGAAATTACTGAACGTACAGGTGACCAAAATGTTATACAAATCAAAACTATCCAATATTTGAGCTTTTTCTGGACATTAATTCAACCCACTTCATGAGACACATTATGTATTATCTTACATAATCATTTAAAACCGTAAAAATTCTTCTGATTAATAATAAAAATGATTAGGTTTGGTTTTGTAAAAAAAAAAATCATTCACACTATTCACACATTTGGAATCATTTAGATTATTTAATGTTTTTTAAATAAGTCTCTTATGCTCACCATGGCTGCATTTATTTAATCCAGTATAAACGGTAATATTGCAAAATATTATTAACATTTCAAATAATTGTTTTCTGTTTGAATATATTGTAAAATGTAATTTGTTCCTGTGATCAAAGTTGAATTTTCAGCATCATTACTCCAGTCTCCAGTGTCACATGATCCTTCAGAAATCATTCTTATATGCTGCTCAAAAATATTTCAGATTTTTATCAATGTCGAACACAGTTTTTGCTGCTTAATATATTTTTGTGGAAACTAAAAAGTTTTGGGTACGAAATTATTTTAATGTTCGCCGTGATCATAGGCTACTTGTCAAAGGTTTAATAGACATAGCCAAATCACTTTAGGGATGAGATCGCGTGGATGCTTGAATCGAGACGATTAATCGTGCAGCTCTATAGTGGCGTACGAATTGAATTGCGCGAATTCATATGATTTTTCAAAAAAAGTCACCAGGAAGGACCACCCCTAACCCCTAAACTCACCCATCATCACTGGGGTCTAAACAAATCTTACACAAATATACAAGTGAGGTAATCCTAGTACACATTTTTATGAATTAGTCACCTCGTAAAATACTTACTGTGAGATCGCGTTGGTGAAGAAGACCTTACTCTAAATATCTAAATATCACAGCTGTGCAAAACGTGATTATTAAACTTTTCCTTATGACACAACAGAGATGGAGGGATGTTGTGCTGAAGTTGCAAGGTTTTCCAGGAGTCCTAATTAATTATGCAAGATGGGTCTAATTATGATGCAGTGAATGGATACATGGCAGAAGGTGCAAGGCAGCGAGGCTTAGAGATTTGCATCCTAAGTGGGTGGGGGAGTGACTAATGCATGTTAATGTGTGCCTGGCCGATGTGCTTTCATTTGCCTGCTTGCAGCTGTGCTCTATGATTTCATGAAGGACTAAAAAGTTTATCATAGTTAAAGTGAAAAGAATAGTACGCTAGGCACGAAACAGCACGCAAGACCTTGACAAGTGTGTTGTAAGATAAGAACGAGGGAGAGGGTTGGAGGACAGTGGATCAGATGCAGTGTTTATAGTAAAAAAGGCTAGATCAAATGGTAAACTATAGTTGGTCAGTCTTAGTTCAACTGTATCCACATGTTTTTTGGGACAAAAACAGCTGGAGCCCTTTTTTTTTTCTTTTTTCTTTTGTAAGTTGTTATTGCTTAGCCTTGCCAAATCGTTATGGAATGAACATTTTACATACATACAGGGGCATAAAAGTACTTAAGGGAAATTATACTTAAGGGAAAAGAGGGTCAAAGCATTTTCCAGATCATTTAGGTCTGCTTCATGATGACCTGTGACATATGTACTTTGTACTTTGAAGGTCTTAATAAGTTTAAATGTAGTAATGAAGTGCAATTAGTAATTTACAGCTCTAGACACATGTTCTCACATCATCTCACAAATAACACATTTGTAGCTTGTTTTGGATTTTTGGGGGATTTAATCCTCATGTTCGGGTCATTTTTACTCCAGGATGATTTCTTTTTCCCGATGTTATCGCATTGAACTAAAACATACTGACTTTACTCACACAGTGTATAATAACTTATAATTGAATAATTGAAAATATAATTGAATTTTTTTTAATCTTTTTTTTTATATATACTTGTGGTGGACCAGGTCAAAAATGAACACCCTACAAAAATAATTGCTGATGCATGTTATTACCAAATATTAGACTCAATCTTTTTATCAACTTGTTTTCTTTCATTGAGTACATTTCTTTTGAGAACTGATGGATCGTAGGCATCACTGATCTGAGCTTATACACCCCAGTTTTTGAATGAAAAAAATTCACCTCAAAAAGACTGAGATGCATCAGCTCCGACCAATCAGGCCTACCAGTTCCAAAAAGAAATACAAAACTTGTATATTTTTGTATTTCGAACCCTAAAATATGAACCCTAACTATTATTCTTCTGTCAATTCTACAAAATGGTAGAGTGAGAGACAGAGGATAACTTTTGCTTGTGGACTTTACGTTGACTTTGCATTGGAGTACAAAATATGCATCATAGAGAAGTAAACAAAAAATGTCTTTAAAATAAAACACTGAAATGTAGCAATGTTGCCATGAACTGCACAGGACCAACATAAAATACTCCCTTTTAAAAGTGGATATACAGTACCTATTTTTACTTATTTTATAAGAAAGCGACAAACAATTCACTTCCGGGATTGAAGTCTCTCCATCTACAGTAAGGCCTCTTCTTCTAGCTTGGTTTACTGGTTTACAGCTTGGTTGTTGTTTGTTTCCCACAGATTTTTCTTGAAGTTTTTCCTGAAGTGCAATCAAAATTGTCTGAAAACCGCAGGGAACCCCCGAGACATGAGGAGATTTCAGGTATGGATCATTTTATATGTATTTGCAAAATGCTAAAATGTTCTGTTGTCACAGTGAATTCATTCCTTTTTGCCGAGTTAAAGGATTAGTTCACTTTTAAAAAAACTTTTGCTGATAATTTACTCACCCCCATGTCATCCAATATGTCCATGTCTTTCTTTCTTCAGTCGAAAAGAAATTAAGGTTTTTGATGAAAACATTCCAGGATTTTTCTCCATATAATGCACTTTACTGGGCACCAAACGGTCCAAGGTCCAAAAGACAGTTTCCGTGCAAACTGTTCAAAGGGCTTTAAACAATTCCAGACGATGAATAAGGGTCTTATCAAGCGAAATGATCGCTCATTTAAAAAATAACAAAGTTTAAGTTTTATAAGCTCAAATGCTCGCCTTGCTCTGTTCTGTGTGACTCTCCTGTTCGAACTCGTTCATCAAAATGAACGAATCTTTTTCCGAGTCAATTCGTTCATTTCGTTCGTTAAATGAACCAAATGACTCGAAAAAAGATTTGTTCATTTTGATGAACGAGTTCGAACAGGAGAGTCACGAACGTGCATCACAGAATAGAGCAAGGCGAGCATTTGAGCTTATAAAACTTAAACTTTGTTATTTTTTAAATGAGCGATCATTTCGCTTGATAAGACCCTTATTCATCGTCTGGAATTGTTTAAAGCCCTTTGAACAGTTTGCACTGAAACTGTCTTTTGGACCTTGGACCGTTTGGTGCCCAGCAAAGTGCATTATATGGAGAAAAATCCTGGAATGTTTTCATCAAAAACCTTAATTTCTTTTCGACTGAAGAAAGAAAGACATGGACATCTTGGATGACATGGGGGTGAGTAAATTATCAGCAAAAGGTTTTTTAAAAGTGAACTAATCCTTTAATTATTTTCTCTACACTACTAAAAATCATATTCTTAATCAGCATCTTTGTTTTATAACCAGTAAAAATATCCAAACATCCTTAGAGCAAGATATATACATTACAAGGAAATTTGCACAAGATAAAGTAAGGATTTGACAGAGAATGCATGTTGAATGTAAGATTGTAAGGATGACTCGCTTGCTTTAGTCCTCAGATGTAAGTCGCTTTGGATAAAAGCGTCTGCTAAATGACTAAATGTAAATTGTAAGACAACACAGGCAAAAAAAAAAAAAAAAGAGAAGCAATTGACAAAAGTCTGCAAATCGAAGAACGCATTATTATGTCTCTCGGGTACATTTATCTTGTTTTAAAGATATATATACTGGAAAATAAGACAAATATTCCGATGTAAGAATAGGTTTTGTTTGCAGTCTAGTGGTGGATAAACTGAGATTGTGAGTTTAATATCTCATGAGAAAAATCCGGAAAGTAGTAGAAGGGATCATGAGGAAGGTGCTTCAGGAAGTTGTCAGGATTTGAGTGATGGGCTCCAGATGGAGGAGGTCAGGTTATGTGACCCAGGAAGTGTTCACTGGGGACCTCCTGCTTTACTTCCTCACACTTGTCTTTCACTACTGGAGCTGCTATCTGACATTTCATCCCTCACTCTTCATTTCCCTGCTGTCCTTCCTTATTCATTTTTTTGGAGTGAGAATTGTTTTCCAGCATCCCTCTTATCTATTCCTCTTATGTGTTGTCACATTGTTTTATTGTCTTCTTCAACTCTACAATGACAATCTTTTGTACATGCGTGAGCACTAGGGCTGCACGATACATCGAAATTCGCCTTTGACTAAGCCACACCCTAGAATGTAGATTGACCAATCACAGCGCAGCCGAGAACGAGCTCCCACAGAGGTCCGACACTTTTTCACAGCGCTCCATTGACTTTAACACAGGCGTCTCATATTTTTGGTCTCGGCAGGCTATTACCGTCGTAGTTTTATCAAAAATATGGTTGAACGTTGTGCCTGGGGCATTTGTAACACAGATACGCGTTTCCCAGAGAGGTTGGAGGGGGGTGTGCGTTTTTTTCCCTTCCCAAAACCGAAGTCAAATCCTAATCCGAAGTCAAGTCTAGCACACGCTGCTAATAAATACAACGTTATACTCGCGTAGTCCGTTTGCTTTGTAATAACGATTATAGAAGTGAATAGAGACCTACCCAGCTTTGCATGAACAGTGTTGCTCCTTGATATTGTTAGTCCCAGCCTCCGTCTCGATTAGTAGGATATGCGGTGGTTCATTTTTTGACTGTGACCGGTTTGCTTTGGCCTCTATTTGGATGCTTTGTTGTTCCTTGCGTTTCACCTGTATGTCGTGAATATAGCCTTCGACCGTATATTGCAGCCCTTTTTGCCTACTTCTATCGGACACTTTATTTGCTGCTTTATAAAAGTTTGATAAAATTTCAGCAGGACGAGCTGTCACAGCATAAGCCATGTTGATACCAGAGCCCAGATGAAGTTTGTTTGTCGGACGTAGCAACAGTAACTAAGGGGGGCGGGGCTTAGCCAAAGGCGAATTAAATCAACATCGCAATATGGCTTAGTGCGACTGTCAAGTTGCGCAGGGTGCTAATTAATTAAAAATATATAAGGGCTACCGGTTATAAAGTGAAGCGATGCATCTATACACCTGATATAATGAGATGCATGCGTGGAAATGAACACAGTGCCGAGCTTCAATCTGAAACCAGAAGCCCATGTTTTTATTTGCCAGCAACTCGTCTAAATAAAAGCACGATGGGTTACTGTTTGGAAATGAAGAAATTAAGATGTAAATATAAGTACTGTAATTTTAAATACACTGATGCAATTCTATACAGATGCAATTCCCACTCACAAAACGATTCATTCTTTCCAAATATAGCTATTCAAGTCATCTGGTGAATATTTCTTTTTGAAACCGCATTAGTATGTGGTTTGAAACCTATTTAAAATTGTATTTGGGGATTTTTGGCTCAGTTTGAATGGTTGCACTCTATAGTTTCACTCTATAGTTTAAAAGTAAGATTTGAATTTTGGTTTCTAGAGATAAAGAGAAGAACAGAGAAGGGAAAATCTGGAGGAAACATGGGGTAAAAGAGTAAGAGTGTAGATTATAGGGAGAAGAATACAAAAGGAAGAGAAGGAAAAGAACAAATAATTTCAACAATAAAGAGATGGATGTGAGAGGACTGCAATATTCTGCAATTATCACAATTTGTTCTTACACTCTTTGGCTGTTATTTGTGTAGTGCTCTTTTTTTACAAACGATTCGACAAGTGCTAAAACTATAGATTTTAAATCAACAGTAGAAGCCGTTTCTAAAGATAACATGTCAGGGATATCACTGATCGTTTTTTAAAATGAATCAAAAGTAATTGACAGGAAGGTTTTTATGAACTACATAAATCTCCTCAAACTATAAATTTTAACGATAAATTTTTTATTCCAAACAGGTGGTTCTGTCCACGACGGTCAACGTGGATGGTCCTGTACTAGCCATTTCTGATAATATGTTTGTGCACAACAACTCCAAACACGGACGTCGCGCTCGCAGAATGGATTCAAATGAGACGATGGAGACTAGCATGGAATACGGTGAGATTTAGAAGAAATGCCTTTGAGAAAAAGGGGCTCTAAATTTGCTTATTCTGTTGCAAGACAGTATCTATATGGTCACTTAGGACTTACTGGGGGACGTCAGTCCTTGCGTGATCATTTCTTGCATTTTTAATCACCTTTTCATTCTCTCTCCACTTCAGCTACTCCCTGTATCAAAGCCATCAGTCCCAGTGAAGGTTGGACTACAGGCGGGGCTATGGTAATTGTGATTGGGGAAAACTTCTTTGACGGTCTGCAAGTGGTGTTCGGGAGCATGTTAGTGTGGAGCGAGGTATGTGTATCCAAGCCAGCTTTGACTTCTAATGAGGGAAGCCTTTGTCATATTTGAATAATTGGCTCAATGATTGAGTACCAAGAATCTGTAACCAAACTTTTCTGTCATTATTCATGCAGCTTATCACTCCTCACGCAATCCGAGTTCAAACTCCTCCTCGACACATCCCAGGGGTTGTAGAAGTTACGCTGTCCTACAAATCTAAGCAGTTCTGTAAAGGAGCTCCAGGGCGCTTCATTTATACAGGTAAATTGTATAATATACAATAATAATACATTAAATATACATTTATACTGGTTATAAAACACACACATAGACATGCAGAATTGCATATTTAAAGACAAGTATATTATGTTAAACCAGTGGTGCCCAACCCTGTTCCTGGAGCCGCCACAACACTGCACTTTTTTAATGTTGCCACCCATTTCAGGTCTTGGAGTCTCTACTAATGAGCTGATGAGCTGAATCAGATGTGTTTGGTTAGGGAGACATACAAGTGATGCGTCCCAATTCGCCTACTTATACAATGCCTAAAAAAATTATGTTTTTTTGTGAAGAAAAAGTACATACTTTTGAGTGTGTAGCAGAATAGTACGCAAGATTTTGGACATATTGCGTCTTTAACGCCGGGCAGCTCTGTCGCTTAGTTACGCGCATCTGTCACCATTTAAATGCCCTGTCAATCATCTTGTCACAGTTAAAATCCCCCAAATTTAATTTTAATTTAATTAACCGAATCTGAGAGAAATGTAGTAGCACGTTGATCTGCCAGTCGTGGGTGTTTTATATGCGGAGGCTCTCCTCATGTGTTTGCATAATGATGCATTTGAAAGTTAATGTATCATTATAAAAGTTCAAATATATAATGTGGATAACATTGAACAAATATAGTTTCATCAGGTTAGATACTGATAATGAATCACTCAAACCTTTATCTAAACCTCTCCACTTAAAGGGATAGTTCACCCAAAAATGAAAATTCTGTCAGTAATTACTCTCCCTCATGTTGTTCCAACCCCCTGAGACTTTCGTTCATCTTCGGAACACAAATTAAGATATTTTTGATTAAATCTGAGAGCTGGATCACTCCTCCATAGGCTTCTTAAAGATGAACTGAACTGAAATTTGAAAAACGGTGATATAACAGATCTATTTTATTTATTATCATTGGTACAATTATTAAAATGGCAGAATTTGTTAAAAGGGATAAAACTGTACGTTGAAAATGTTGTTTTTGTTACATGGGCGCCGCCATGTTGGATTTCAACATTCGGCTACGTCACTGGCATGGTAGGCTACTCCGTTGCCAACCAACACCAGCAGAGCAGCCATAGCATGTAAATAGTCTGAGGCTAGCTGACATGGCTGGGGAAACAGAAACCAACAGGTCTAGGGCGGGTTCATCATACTGTATTGCCCCTGGCTGTAGTAATGAATTGTATAGGGCTAAGGCAGCTGGGGTTACGATACATTTTCACAGGCTAACGTTACCTTTAACAAGGAAACCAGCCCTCAAGTTAAGGCTAGCTGCCTTAAAACTGTCTAGCACTCCGACAGCCCCTGGATTTCGAGTCTGTAGTGAAAATTTTGTAGTGACAGACTATTTAGTAGGCCTGTCGCGATAGTCAATAAATAAATTAATCGCACGACAAAAAAATTAGCTCGATAATTTTTCCGGCCGCGATAATTTTCATTTGCATGCTTGTTTGTTTTCCTCATCTCTCTCTCTCTCTCTAGCAAAGAGACTGGATGACAACTCTCGGTTCCTTAGCGTAGGAAGAGTGAACTAGAGCTTATTCTGCCCGAGCCCGAGCGATATTTCCCGACACTATCCTTGAGACGTGCACTCCCAACGCAATAGACTGCTGCGCGGCACTACATCTGATGGCCGAGACTGCGAGCGCGGGCGGTAATGCACTCACTCTGTATGTGCGGGTTATAAATAAAACGATTCGCGGGACTCCCGCGAACTAGAAATATCTATGAATAAAACATAAAAACGAATAGATTTTTATTCATCTGTTGCAGAAAAGCAACAAGAACAACTAAAACAAAATAGAAACGATTTACAGGCCAGAGTTTCTATTCATAACATTCTATTCATAACAACGCTATAACATCGCGTTGAGGGATGTAGCAAGCCAATCACAGTTATATGTGTTGCTTCTGATTTGCCATTGTGTTCAAGAAATCATTTAAGATAGACTCCCTTTTTGGTATTTATTCAAGTGCATTTTTTGTAACAGAGACTGTTCTCTGCAACAGATTGACTCCGGTGCAGTGTCCATGCTCCGGCAGCTCACACACCCACACCAGTCACTTCGCCCCAAACGATCATGTGCTGTAGGCTATGTGGAGCCTGAAACTGATCCTCCATGTGGTGGTGGTAGTCAGAAACTACTGGACTGTCCCTCACAGGTTCAAATGCGTAACCCATGCCGTTAAAAGTGCTCATTTTCGTCTGTGTATTAGGACCTGCAGCTGTTGCCTATGCACCTTTGCGTGTCCTACCATGCCAGTGACGTCATCGAAACTGCCAGCGTAACAAGCGCAATTTTTGTGTTGCTTAAAAAAAGCTATATTGATATTTTTAATTAAAATTTTTAGTGTAATTTACTTTTAATTGTCATAAACAACACGTTATCAACGTCAATTTTTTTCAGTTCAGTTCATCTTTAAGGGATTGAAACTGGCCGGCCCAAAAGTTATGAAAGACATCGTTAAAATAGTCCGAGTGACTACAGTGGCTCAACCTTAAGTTTATCAACTTATCAAACAAACAAAAATAACGACTTTATTTCACTATTAATTTCCTTCTCTGTACGTAGTGAAACTACGCAAAGCTTCTAGGTTGTACGTCACGCATCACACACATGACCAGCGTCGGCCAATAGTGAGCCTACGTGTGACGTGCAACCAAGAAGCTTTGCGCAATATCACTACGTGAAATCTCACGGCCGTACAGAGAAGGAAATGAATAGTTGAATAAAGTCATTATTTTTGTTTGTTTTTTGCGCACAAAAAGTATTCTCGTCGCTTGATAAACTTAAGGTTGAGCCACTGTAGTCACTCGGACTATTTTACCATGTCTTTCATAACTTTCATAACAGTTTGGATCCCTTTAGAAGCCTATGGAGGAGTGAGACAGCTCTCCGATTTAATCAAAAATATCTTAATTTGTGTTCCGAAGATGAACGAAAGTCTTACGGGGTTGGAACAACATGAGGGAGGAACTAACCCTTTAACCGTCACTCTGTACATCTGCCATGTTTGTAGTTTTTTAACACTTTTCATATGTGTTTGTAGTCCTTATCCAACACCCAATGTGTTGTGGGCAATATTATCCGTTATCGTGTGCACGGATCTGCACTTTGGATTCTAACCGGAAAAAGACCATCCGGGTATCTTGGGAATAATCATTTCAGCATACTACTATTTGGGACGCACTAATTCTAATTTCGCATACTATTTAGGATGGATAGTATGCGAATTGGGACGCAGCAAAAAATGTGCAGTGTTGGGAGGGTTACAGAAGAGGGCTAGGAAACACTGTGTTAAACTACTTTCTTTCTATGTTTGAAGTGCAGAGATAACTAGAAGTCATTTGTAAGTTGACTTCCCTAAGATTGGAAGCACTGTGGATCTTTGGCACTTTCAGAAAACCAATACATTGCCAGGTTTATTTGAGTGACATGTCATCTTCTGACTTATCCAATAAAAGTTTTGTGCGAAACTACATGTTTGGCTGGACAATGGAATATGGTATAATGGGGGTTGGAGTATTTGGGAAACCTGTTTGGAAACAATCATGGTAATACTAGTTCTTTAGACATTCTACTAACTATAAGTAACTTTGCAACTACATGTCAACTAGCAGTCATTAGAGTATTAGTAGTCTGTCTGTTTAATTTCTGCTAACACTTTATTTTGATGGTCCCCCAACAGACATTATACTGACTTTGCAAGTACATGTCAACTTATACTAACCTGAACCCTTACCTAAAAGTCTACTAATACTCTAATGAGAGACAAGTAGCTGCAAAGTTACATATAGTTAATAGAATGTCTAAAGTGGACTATCAATATAAAGTGTAACCACAGTCATTTGCAACTCTGATTGGTGCCACTTGTGAGGAAAAGACTGATAATATCAATCAGGACGAGAGTGGCTATGGATTCATACATAAATCCCTTACCTGATTCCCTTTCATTAACTACATACAAAGGGATTTGTTCAGATTTTCAGGTATTTTAAAGTACATAATGGATTCTCACTAAGTATTGTTATCTCTAGCACTGAACGAGCCAACTATTGACTACGGCTTCCAGAGACTTCAAAAGCTGATCCCTCGCCATCCTGGTGACCCCGACAGATTGGCAAAGGTTAGTAAATACTGACGTACATATATAACCGTCAACTCAAACACAGAAGTACACACCAACAGACCCACAGATATGTCATATTTATCTACTCTCTCTGGAACTGATTTTCTATATTTTAGGAAATGTTACTTAAAAGAGCAGCAGATGTTGTTGAGTCACTCTATGGAAATTCCACCAGCAATCAGGTAACCACTGAATTGCAGTAGATATAAGAATACTGTCTGTGGCATGGAAACAAACACTCTGAGTGCTTTGAACACATACAATGGGGTCCAAATGTCTGAAATCACTAGTGAACATGCTTCTATTTTGTTTCAAATTACATAATCAGCATAACGGAAATTTCAGAAATCCATCAATATCATGTCAAGATCCATATTATCTAGCATGATTTGAAAATGTTCCATAGCACAACATGTGTACTTCAATGGAAGTAAGGAAATCTGGATAATGTAACAAATCAGCTTATTTGATTTGCGAAGTTTTGAATCCAATGTGGTCTCAGGCTTTTAGAACATTCGAAATAATTTACGCACATCTAAGAAATGCATGTTCACAGCAACAACAAATTAATGTTTTTTTTACAAAATTCCTTTTCAATTTACTAACTCAACTCGTACCTGCAGGTCAAACAAACATCATTTTGTCCTCTTTTCTTCAGTATTACAAGTGGGTGAAGTTTACCATCACGGTATAAAATACAAAGGAACATAAAAAAAACCCCAGCACAAAATAAAATAAAAATGCTGCTTTTAATCCAATACAATCCAACAACATTTCCACTCCATTTGTCACAAAAATAAACAGTATACTGATTTTTTTGTCTTTTTTTCTTTTTCTTTTTTTTTACATTTTATGCTTTGAAAAATATTAAAATTTTATCACAAAAATGGTTTTGTATCATAAGGTTCGGCCTAGTGTTTCCAGAATATAAATTTAATACAAAAATAGTAAGTCTCCCTAATGTCAAAACAAGTGCTTTATACAACAGAAATTACAAGGCTGTGTTGGTCCAGATTTGTAATGCAGCTTCTGTGCTGAGCAATCTTTGTTTTTAAAGAGCTTTGGGTCAGGTTTTAATCAAATAAATCAAATGTTTTGTGTTTGTTTGACCTGATGAAGACCCTTTTCAGGTCGGTAAATTGGAACTGTTGGCAATCTTAGACCACACTGTATGTGGTCACTGTATGTATGCTGAATTGATTTGTCTGTCTCCTGTTCATATCGAGAGAAATGAAGTGATAGGTTTTCCCGTTGTGTATTGCCGTCAATCAAAACTTGTCTTTGATATTGTGCTGTTGCAGGACATGTTGCTGAAGCGGGCTGCAGATATAGCCGAGGCTCTTTACAGCGTGCCTCGACCTCACAGTCAGCTGCAGGCCATGCCGAGTTCCCCTGTCCATGGCAGTGTCATGGGGCTCAACTCTTATCCCACACAGCTGGGTGTAAGCATTGGGGAACACGGGCAAACCAGTAGCCAAGGTAAGGATCTGAAGACATTTAAGATTCAGTCTTATTCAGTGTTCTAGATCAGGGGTTCCCAAACTTTTCCATGCCAAGGCCCCCCAAATACCAATAGCTTCTGGCCAAGGCCCCCCTTCTGCAGGATGTGTTATTGAACCCATCGACACTACTACAGCAAATGTAGAAATAAATAAAACCTCTAGGTGAACATCAGATTATGTGATGGTGTTTGATACCAGCCTATCAGAAAGATTATAGAGATGCACCTATTACAATTTTCTAGGCTGATTACAATTTTTCATTGAGTTTGACCTGCCGATACAGATTTTAGCCGATCTGATTTCCTTTTTTCTAACCACTTTACAACACACACAAATATTTGTTTCTCTTTCTCTTTCTCTCTCTCTCTCTCTCTCTCTCTCTCTCTCTCTCTCTCTCTCTCTCTCTCTCTCTCTCTCTCTCTCTCTCTCTCTCTCTCTCTCTCTATATATATATATATATATATATATATATATATATAGATAGCATATATATATATATATATATATATATATATATATATATATATATATAACATCATATAATTTTACCCAAACTGAATAATTAAGACAAGTTTAAGTTTAAATGGGTAAATTTTCTATAAATATTTGAGTCTTCATTTTCTTTTCTGACATAGCCTACTCCAGTTCTTGTTAAAACACACTAGACATGCAAATTATGTGCATTTTAGGCACTTTTTGTGTGAAATCATATTTATTTTGTCCATCAAAAGTGTGCTTTCACTTAAATTGAGTGTGAGCTGCGCAGCAAAAATAGATTGTGCCGAAACCCACTGCTGCTTACGCTCCTGCTTTGCGCTCCTGCTCGCGCTGTGAATGCACTCATTGATAACATGTACGCCGAAAAAATACGCGCCTCTCGCGCTTGAGATCTGAAACGGCCGTAATTCACGAGGTTTCCTACATGTGCGTTCCGTGTGCATGTGGGATGCTGATGTTGCGCGATGTTAATCATGCGGCGCCCGACGCCCGAGTGCATTAGACCGGCATAAAATCAGCATGTCAGACTGATCGGCCGGTCGACAATCACATGAAAATCGTCCAATTCCGGTCACCAGCCAATCAATCGGTGCATCTCTAAAAGATTAGCATTACAAGTATAATGTTCAGATAGGCTATGCACAAATTATTATAATGCTATTTCATTACAATACTCATAATAATATAAATATAAATATTTTTACTTTTTTTTTTTTTTTTTTACTTTTTTTTTTTTTTTACTTTTCTTCCAACTTGCTGCGGCCCCCAGTTTGAAAACCCCTGTTCTAGATGACCTAGATGTCAATAACCCTCATCTCAGCACATTTATAGAGCGCTGACATATTTGTGAAGGCCAACCCAGAAGTTAGGATCACACTGGTTACCTCAACAAAAACTCAATAGGATTTGTCTTTTTAATTATCGCAAAAAATAAGCTCTGTGATCAACAACAGTTTATGATACTTACACGTTTTGTCCATTAAGATAATTTCAACAAATGAACAACTTTTATGAATTTTGAAGCCTAAATAAAATTGTCACTTCCAGTCTTTATTTAACCTTCTAGGGCTGCTCGTGTGGCTGCCTTTAAAAAAAATTTTTTATGAATGTACTATATTTCAGTTTGATAATGTTTTTTATCCAATATTTTGTATTTTAGGGGATTTTTTGGTACTAAATTATATTTATGAAGTAGTTACAGTGTTGGTCAGAATTATTTTGCCCTTTTGGTAAATATGATACAAAATGGCTGTAAAAATAAATCTGCATTGTTAAATCTTTTGATATTTTATTTAAAAAATAGCAAAAATCTAACCTTTTATTGAAGTAAAAGGTTTGAAAGTGGGGGGGAAATCACATTATGAAATAAATGTTTTTATCCAAAACACATTGGGAACAATTATTTGCCCCCTTTTATTAAATAGTTTTAATAAATGTTGGCGCTTCTTCTCTTCAGTTCACCACCACTCATCTTCTATAGGGTTCAGGTCAGGGGACGGGATGGCCATTGCAGATGTTTGGTTTTGTGCTCAGTGACCCATTTTTGTGTTGATTTTGATGTTTGATTTTGGATCACTGTCCTGTTGGAAGATCCACACATGGCCCGTTATAAGATTCCTAGCACCGGCTGTCAGGTTTTGATTTTTTATCTGTTGGTATTTGATGGAAACCATGATATCTGAACAAGATGTCCAGGACCTCGGGCAGAAAATTATGCCCACAGCATTAAAGATACAGCAGAGTATTTCATTTTACACATGGGGTACTTTTTATCCCTGTGTCATGACTTAACGAATAACAGGAAGCAATAGCAGGTAATAACTCTTTATTCAGTGGAAGTCCAAACAGAAAGACACGGGCGTGGAGGATGACACAGGGACGTCGATGGTCAGCGTGGTGAATCCCAAGTGGTGCAGTGAAGACAGATGAGAAACGATCCCCAACCGACGATAATCCACGAACAAGACGAAATCCACAGGTACACACGACGAGAGACTCAGGAACACAAGACTGGAACACGGACACATCCAACAGCGATCTGACAATGGAGATGAGAACACTGTGAGCATAAATAGTGAATGAGATCGGCTGCAGCTGGTGATGAGATGATGATCAGCTGGAGCGGATCAAGGAATGACACACACTCACTCACGCCCACCACACACGTGCTTTCATGCAACAACAATAACACGAGACGAGAAGGAAGCAAATGGATTTGTATACCGTGACAGTACCCCTTCTCCTAAGAACGCCTCCTGACGTTCTCAGAACTCCTTACCTGTCGATTGTAATCATCGATCAGAGAGTGATCCAGAATGTCTCTAGCAGGTACCCAACTTCTCTCCTCCGGACCGTAACCTTCCCAGTCCACCAAGTACTGAAATCCGCGTCCCCTCCGCCTCGAATCCAAAATACGATTAACCGAATAGGTGGTATCCCCATTTACGAGACGCGGCGGGGGGGGGAACCGGGACTGGCGGATTAATGTGTGAACGAAACACAGGCTTAATTTTGGAAACGTGAAAAACGGGGTGTACCCTCCTGTACGCTGGAGGTAAACTAAGGCGGACTGCCACCGAACTAATGATCTTGGTGACAGAGAATGGGCCAATAAATTTGGGAGCAAGCTTATTAGAGACGGAACGGAGAGGAATGTTCTTAGTAGAAAGCCACACTTTTTGACCGACGACGTATATGGGAGGCTTAGACCGGTGGCGATCGGCCCTCGCCTTGGTGCGCGCCCCCACTTGGAGTAAAGTCTCACGGGCTCTAGTCCAAGTGCGGTGACACCTCTGGATTAAGGCGTGTGCGGAGGGAACCGCGACTTCGGATTCCAGACTGGGAAAAATAGGTGGCTGGTAACCTAAACTACATTCAAACGGAGATAGGCCCGTGGCCGACACTGGTAACGTGTTGTGGGCGTACTCCACCATGGAAAGTTGCTGGCTCCATGAGGAAGGATTCTTGGAAACTAAACATCGCAACACCCTTTCCAGATCTTGGTTGGCTCTCTCGGTTTGACCATTGCTCTGGGGATGAAACCCTGAGGATAAACTAACCGTCGCCCCCAGTAATTTACAAAATTCTTGCCAAAATTTGGACACAAACTGGGGTCCTCTGTCAGAGACCACGTCCATCGGGAGGCCATGTAAACGAAAGACGTGGTCAATGACTGTCAACGCTGTCTCCTTAGCTGAGGGTAATTTGGGTAAGGGAATGAAATGAGCCGCCTTCGAGAACCGGTCCACCACGGTCAAAACGACTGTGTTACCCTGGGAGGGTGGGAGGGCGGTGATAAAATCGAGAGCGATATGGGACCAGGGTCTCGAAGGAACTGGCAGCGGTTGAAGGAGCCCATCTGGGGGTCGATTGGAAGTTTTACCAGTGGCACAAACCGAACAAGCCAAAACAAAACTGTGAATGTCACGAGCCATGAGTGGCCACCAGAATCGTTGCTTGACTAGAAACTTAGTACGATAAACTCCTGGATGACAAGCCACGTTGGAGCAATGACCCCACTGAATGACGTCAGACCTTAATCCCTCCGGCACGAATAAGCGATTCGGTGGGCAACCGGGCGGAGGCGTTACCCCTTCTAAGGCCGTCTTGACCTTCGATTCGACCTCCCATACGAGTGTGGAGACAAATAGACTCTCCGGTAAAATGCACTCGGGAGTAGACGGGCGTTCGGAAGGATCAAAAATGCGAGATAAAGAGTCGGGTTTGATGTTCTTAGACCCCGGGCGGTACGAGAGAGAAAAATCAAAACGTCCGAAAAAAAGTGCCCACCGAGCCTGCCTGGAGTTCAATCTTTTGGCAGTTCTGATGTATTCTAAATTCTTGTGATCAGTCCAGACTTTAAAGGGTACCCCAGAGCCCTCTAACCAATGACGCCATTCCTCCAACGCTAACTTGACTGCCAACAACTCCCTGTTACCAATGTCGTAATTGCGTTCAGCTGAGGATAACCGATGGGAAAAAAACGCGCAAGGATGCATCCTGTCGTCTGTGGGAGAACGCTGGGACAGGACTGCTCCTACCCCCACCTCTGACGCATCGACCTCCACCACGAACTGCCGTGAATAGTCAGGGGCAACGAGGATGGGAGCTGAAACAAAGCGGCTCTTGAGTTTGGCAAATACAGCCTCGGCTGTATCTGACCACCTGAACGGAGTGCTGGGGGAGGTCAAGGCAGTCAGAGGTGCGGCTAGCTGGCTGAAATTACGAATGAAACGTCGATAGAAATTGGCGAACCCCAGAAACCTCTGTAGGGCCTTACGGGAATCTGGACTTGGCCATTCTACCACAGCCTTAACCTTCTCAGGGTCCACACGCATTCCCTCAGACGAGATGATGTATCCTAAGAAAGGAACAGACTGTGCATGAAAATCGCATTTCTCCGCCTTGACAAAAAGCCCATTCTCTAACAACCTCTGAAGCACTCGTCGGACGTGTTGCATATGTTCCTGGAGAGACGAGGAAAATATCAATATGTCATCCAGGTAAACATATATGAACTGATCTATCATGTCTCGTAACACGTCATTGACCAGTGCCTGGAAGACTGCTGGAGCGTTGGACAGCCCAAAAGGCATGACCAAATATTCAAAGTGCCCCCTGGGGGTGTTAAAAGCAGTCTTCCACTCATCCCCCTCCCTGATGCGAACCAAATGATAAGCGTTACGCAAGTCCAATTTCGTGAAGACGGACGCTCCCTGCAACCTCTCGAAAGCTGAAGACATCAACGGCAAAGGATAAGTATTCTTTACCGTGATGTTATTCAACCCCCGGTAATCAATACAAGGTCGCAGAGACCCGTCCTTCTTCCCCACAAAAAAGAACCCCGCCCCCGCTGGAGAAGAGGAAGGGCGGATGAACTTGGTTGCCAGAGAATCAGAAATATATTTCTCCATAGCCTCCCTTTCAGGAACAGAAAGTGAGTATAGCTTGCCTTTAGGCGGAGACTTACCTGGCATTAAATCTATGGCACAGTCATAGGGACGATGAGGAGGAAGAGAAGCAGCACGAGACTTACTGAACACTTCCTTCAGATCGTGGTACTCCTCGGGCACGTTAGACAAATCCCCTACCTCCTCCTGAAACACACAAACAGGCACAGACGGACAAGCAGACACGAGACAAGACTTATGACATTCCTTGCTCCACTCCAGTATAGTTTTATGTTGCCAGTCCACTCGGGGGTTGTGATGGATGAGCCAGGGATGTCCAAGAACAATGGGTGCCAGGGGTGAATCCAGAATGTAAAAACTAATAGTCTCGGAGTGATTGCCTGAAGTGATGAGGGTAATGTTTTCCGTGATAAAAGAAATGGTGGGGAGTTCTTGGCCGTTGAGTGCGTGAACATCAATCCTTTGTGTGAGTGGTTTGAGGGGAATCTGAAATCTGTGTGCAAAAGTGCTGTCCATGAAGTTACCTTCAGCCCCAGAATCCAAAAGTGCTCGACAATCGTGCTGGTGAGCTGACCATCTCAGTCTTACAGGAAGGAGAGTAGATGTGGATGAGGTCTTCTTGGCAGAGATCCCACCCGATAGTAGCCTCATGCTTACTATCGGGCTTGGCCTTTTACCGGGCAGTTGTAAGCGAAGTGTCCCGTGCCTCCACAGTATAGGCAAAGGCCCTGGGATCTCCGCCTTTCCTTCTCCTCCCTGGAAAGCCGAGCTCGACCCACCTGCATGGGTTCGTGATCGAAGACTGGGCTGACCGTGTCCCTGCCGCTGGACCGTTGTTCCTCGACTCCTCCTGTAGAACGGGTGGACAAAGCTCTGCTCCCGACCCTAGCCAGCCGAGCGTCCACCCGTAGAGCCAGTTCGATGAGGCCGTTGAGAGATGTTGGCAGGTCCAGGGTGTAGATCTCCCTCTGGACACGGTCAGCCAACCCATGCAGGAACATGTCCCACTGCGCCTCCTCGTTCCACTGACATTCGGCCGCCAGGGTTCGGAACTCGATCGAAAAATCCGAGACCGACCTCTCACCTTGACGGAAGTCGGCCAGCACCCTAGCGGCCTCTCTCCCCGCGAAGGCACGATCGAATACCCGTCTCATCTCCGCGGAGAGTGCCGGGAACGAGGCACAGCAGGGATCTTGATTTTCCCACACCGCCGTCCCCCACAGCGCTGCTTTACCGGTCAGTAGAGTCAACACAAACGCCACTTTCGCCTGCTCATTTTGAAATGTTCTGGGCTGTAGAGCAAAATGCATGGCACATCTGGTCAGGAATGCTCTACAGTATGCAGACTCACCCGCGTAGCTCTCTGGAACAGGTAGGCGTGGTTCGCTGTGCGCTGGGATCTCAGGTGGAATGGGGGGAACGGCTGGTGTGGGCGGCGCAGCGGGAGCTCGAAGAAGTAGAATCTGCTGGGTCAGCTCGGACACCTGTGTCACCAAAGTTTGAACCGCACGACCCGCGTCATTCAGATTCTTCTCCTGCGAATCCATTCTTCTCATACTATGTTGCACAAAGTCCTCCAAACTAAATGTTGACGTACCCGCTGCTTCCATGGTTGCGTCAGATCGTTCTGTCATGACTTAACGAATAACAGGAAGCAATAGCAGGGAATAACTCTTTATTCAGTGGAAGTCCAAACAGAAAGACACGGGCGTGGAGGATGACACAGGGACGTCGATGGTCAGCGTGGTGAATCCCAAGTGGTGCAGTGAAGACAGATGAGAAACGATCCACAAGCGGTGATAATCCCCAACCGACGATAATCCACGAACAAGACGAAATCCACAGGTACACACGACGAGAGACTCAGGAACACAAGACTGGAACACGGACACATCCAACAGCGATCTGACAATGGAGATGAGAACACTGTGAGCATAAATAGTGAATGAGATCGGCTGCAGCTGGTGATGAGATGATGATCAGCTGGAGCGGATCAAGGAATGACACACACTCACTCACGCCCACCACACACGTGCTTTCATGCAACAACAATAACACGAGACGAGAAGGAAGCAAATGGATTTGTATACCGTGACACCCTGTGTGTACCAAACCCATATTAAGTGTTTGCTGCAAAAAAGTGTTTTTTGTTTTGTTTCATCTGATAGAACCCGTCCCGTTCAAAGTTCCAGTCGTGTCAGTTACTTTTCAAAAGTTCCATGGTCAATCTTGGAAAAAGGAGGTTGCAAAAAGTATTTAATAAAACGGGGCAAATAATTGTTCCCAACGTGTTTTGGAGAAAAACATTTATTTCATAATGTGATTTTCCCCTCACTTTCAATTCTTTTACTTCAATGAAAGGTTAGATTTTTGCAATTTTTTTAATAAAATATCAAAAAGATTAACAATGCAGATTCATTTTTTACAGCCATCTTTGGTCATATTTACCAAGGGGGCAGAAGTTGTTGTTTTTTTAAGTGAATTTAATTTGTATCAAAGTTAAAGTTTATTGTTATGAAAAATGCACATAAATGCTATTTACATTGTTTACATGAAGTATATATTTTCCAAATCATGTTTTTCTTTTAAACACACCGAGAAAATCAAAGCCATAAATCTAAACAAGATTGTGTTCCAAATCTGTGGTTAATATCTCAAAAAATTCAATAAGAATTTGTTTATGAGCAGTACCAAACATTTCCACTAGATGAAATTAGTTTCCCATTCATTTACAAAGTGACCACAAATAATACAAGTGTGACTTTTTTTTTTCAGGCCCATTTAACCTTTTCGAGTCATGTCTGTTTGTGTGTGTGTGTGTGTGTGTGTGTGTTCAAATAGAATCTTTACCAAGTTTCGTACCATTCTGATGAAGTAAAATATAAAAAAATGTAAAAGCGCACCAGAGGTTTAAAAGCATTTTGTAAGAGCTTGATTATTGTTTTGTTGATTAATTGAGTAAAGAATTGTGATTTCTCTCTCTTTTATTCAAGGATACAGTCGCAGTTTGTCTCCACGTGGCTACCCATCAGCATCGACCCCTCAGCAGTCAGGTTATGGGTCTAACGGGGGCATGAGTTACGGGGCAGTGCCCATGAGCAGTCTGGGTGTTTCAGGGTCACCTGGCTTTAACAGTGCCTCCCCAAACAGCTCTCCTTATGCTAGTGAGTTTCAGTTTCCCTTTTCACCTTCTTTTTAATCATTTTTAATAATCCTCCTGCTAGAAATACAGTGATTTTAGACCGTCAGATAAAATGTTGGTATAATTGAAGCACCTTTTTTTCCAGTAATGCCATCTAGCCCCACTGTACCAGGCTCCAGTTCCTCATCCTCCCTCTTGCCCTTCTCATCTTTCCCATCCTCTACCAAACAAAAAAGTGCCTTTGCTCCAGTCCTGAGACCGCAGGGTTCACCGTCACCCGTTTGCCAAACTTCAGGAGGCTCCAGCTTTAGAGGTATACTGTAACTACAGCTATGAAACCAAATGAACAGATCTGCTTTTTAAGTTTTAGCTTTTAAAGGGATATTCCACTTTTTTTGGAAATAGGCTCATTTTACAACTCCCCCAGAGTTAAACTGTTGAGTTTTACCGTTTTTGAATCCATTCAGCCGATCTCCGGTTCTGGCGGTACCACTTTTAGCATAGCTTAGCATACATCATTGAAGTGGACAAGACCATTAGCATTTCTAAAAAAAAAAATGACCAAAGAGTTTAGATATTTTTCCTATTTAAAACTTGACTCTTCTGTAGTTACATCGTGCACTAAGACCGACGGAAAATGTAAAGTTGCAATTTTCTAGGCTGATATGGCTAGGAACTATACTCTCATTCCTGCGTAATAATCAAGAAACTTTACTGCCGTACCATGAGAGCAGCAGGCGTAATGATATGGCGCAGCGCCTGAAAATAGTTCCGTTGTGTTGACGGAAGGTAGCCTATAGTTCCTACCCATATAAGCCTAGAAAATCGCAACTTTACATTTTCCGTCGGTCTTAGTGCACGATGTAACTACAGAAGAGTCAAGTTTTAAATAGGAAAAATATCTAAACTCTTTGGTCATTTTTTTTTTAGAAATGCTAATGGTCTTGTCCACTTCAATGATGTATGCTAAGCTATGCTAAAAGTGGTACCGCAAGAACCGGAGATCGGCTGAATGGATTCAAAAACGGTAAAACTCAACAGTTTAACTCTGGGGGAGTTGTAAAATGAGCCTATTTCCAAAAAAAGTGGAGTATCCCTTTAAATGTTTTTTTCCCCCCCAAGGTACACTCTTAAAAATAAAGGTTCTACTCTGTACCCTACTCTGAAGTATGAGTTAATTTAGTCCCTCCAAAAGGAGAAATTTTGTTCCCAGTTCCTGCGGTGTTAACACGCCAAGAAGTGTATACTTCCGCCAACAGTTATATGAACTATGAAAACGTTCCTCTGCTGCGAAGGGCCCTATTGGCATCAATGGTTCCATGAGGAGACTTTAACATTCATTGAACCTTTTCATTGCACAAAAGATTATTTATGCGGGAAAAAGGTTATTAAAATGTTCTTCACTCTAAGCAAATAATGGCTCTTTTAAGAACTGATCAATGAAAGGTTGAAAGGAAACCAGGGCCAGAGTTTCTTCATATTGTGACATAAGCTAAATATATTTTTGGTCACCTCAAACCTCGGTTGGAAACCTTGTATGACCAACACTGCTACTTTTCAGGAAATTGATTATTTATTTTAAAACAAACACTTGTGTTATCAAAGTTGATATTGTGGCTTTATATATGATCATATACTTGCATGTGTCATTATATTGCACTTTATTACATTATGATACATTAACACTTTACCAAAATCAAGCTCAAATGAAGTAACAAAGGTTTTGACCTGCAGCGAATGACGTGTAATTTTTAAGGTTATGAAGTTTATTGTAGCTATATGGGCGCCCAGTTTTTTCTGTCATTTGGCCAAAACCTCATGTTATAAAAGATGAAGCTGCTACGCACAGGCTATTTAAGACAGTATTGGCTATGACTCAACGACAAATCCTAGACTTAGACACTCTTCTCCGTGCCTCAAATACATAGAACATTAGACTTTATATATATATTGTGTTTCTTGAGTAAAGAAAATGCTGTACATATTCAAACAACCAGTTCTTTTGTTTTCCTTTGCATTGCAAACAAGCAGAGATGCTCCACCAAAATGTGTGCGCCTCTTCATTCACTATAGAGGCGGGAGGAGTTATGAGGTTTGAGGAGCCAATGGAGTTACAAGGTTTAGGGCCAGATTTACTAAACAAGGCAAAATTAGCGTGAGAGCGCTATTCCAAAGTAGCGCCAATGGGAGTGGAAAGTCCTGCACATGATCTACTAATGACGCAAATTAAAGAACACAGACACAGCCGGATCATTTCCACAATGACCAACTCAATCCACCGAGAGCAGCGCAAATTAGCGTCTGGTTTAAGACATGCTTTTTTGGGCGGTCAATAATGGCACAAATACCAGTAAATTGACGAGCGCAAACCTTAGTAAATCAGCGTTCGTGACTCATTTAAATACTCTCCTCCCATACATTTTACATCTGTAGGGAAACTCCTAAATACATATGCAATGTGTAATGCAAATGTCATATATAAGTTAAAATGCTATCTGTCAAAAGTAACTTATTTCTTGCTACCAGTGTACAGGAACTGTGCAGGCATAGCGTATCATCTATTTGATTTAGCTGCATGTTACTGCCATATGGAATAACTTTTTTTTTTTTTTTTTTAAGCAATGACAGGCCTCGTGGTTCCTCCGATGTAGAGGACGAGTCTCTTCCAGTCCTACGCTTTACAGCCAGTGGCCAGAACTGGACTGACACCAATGTTGTCTCCTTCAAGCCACACTGAACAACAGCTGTCATGAAGAAGTAAAGACAACAAGGACATATTTAAAACACTTTTGGGAACCTTCTTGAGAGATATCCACTCTATGCACACGCTTTGCCTCTGATTGTGAAGGGATGGTGTTACTTAAAGGTTCTTCCAGCCACAAAATGCCAAAAGAGCTATAATTTGAGAACATGAGACTTGAGACTGTTACACAATTTTTAGCCGTGTGCTCTCATCAGACACACCGGTCAATAGACTTTCACCGCAGTAGATGCCAGTATGGGGTGTCAATTGTGTCAAAACTCAGTCTTTTTTTAATATACTGATAGATACACATCCCTAAACTGAAATTGTGTTTTTAAAAGTATATATATTTATCAGGATTTTCATTTAGAGAAACAGAAAGTGTTTATTTAGGTTTAGGTTTATGAACTGATTACCTCATATATTGACTTATTTAATGACAAAAACTATATAAGTTATATTTTTTAGGTTAAGTACTAATATAAGGAACCATGATTGTATTTGCTATTATTTGGTATTGTTATCTAAATGTATTTGTTTTTCTGTAAACATTTTTTATAGGTTGTCATATTGCTATTGATATTAAAATAGTGACTGTAGATTTTTACATGTAAAAGTTTTGTTGTTAAATATATAGATATTTTAATTCTTTTCCAACTTATTTATAAACATGTTTTCACATTTGTATCCCTTTCAAAATATTTCTGACATGCACTAAAATAACAGATTTACTCATGGCATTATTTCTCTTCCACATGACCAGTCATTCCTTTCTATTTATTCCTTTTAGTAATCATTAAAGATTTTTATTTTTCAATTTTTATGTTATTCCAAACAAACCAAATGCAGGGTTGTAATTTATGGATATATTTTTTTTTTAAATAGACATATTAATCTGTGTTATCAGGTGAAGGTAACAGAATTTTTTTTTAAAATAATTTTATGTTGCTGCCTATAGAACTGATACAGTTCTGCTCTTCTCTTTTCCCCCATTCTTCCTCAGTGAGTTTTGTCATTAGCATTGGTAAACAGGATCGTTTTGACCACCAAATTAATGTTATGCATGAAAAGAACATCTGTTTAATTAGTGCAATGAACAAATTGATATGTGCGCTTAACATATTCTACCCGAATGTATTTACAGCACACAGACATCTGTTTTGATAAAAGAAAATAGTCACCAAACAGTGAATATGATCCAATTATTTGAGATGCAAAAAGTACATTTGTAATGTGTTTTTTTTTTTCATTCTCATCAACAGTGAGTAAAAATGGCGATTTGAATAAATACAGCCATTCTGCCCTTTCCTCACAGGATATGTTGAGTTAATCTCAGTAATTCATGGCCAACAACCTGCATAAATACATAATATGTAAAATGCATGTATGCATTCGTTAAGCTCTGCTGTGATACTGAGCTGCAGATTTTTTTGGACAAAGAGGGTTAAATGGGGGTAAAGGTTTGGGCCATGGATTTGGAGGATAAAGCTTTTTTTTGTTTTGTTTTTTAGCTCAAGGCCGTTTGCTACATTTTGACAAATCCTTTTTGAGGTACATTATAACTCTTCCAGATTCACGCCTCCTCTCTGAGTCCCCTGGGTGTCAATGGCAGATGGAATACACAGAAAGAGTCCCTTGTGTGTTTCTCCAAACATAACTGAACGTCTCTCTCACGCACACATGCATTCAGTACATTTAAGCCACATGTCCACTTTCACATAGATTTGTTGTGCATGCACTTAATTCGGACAAGATATGTTATATACTCGCATGCTTCCAAAGACTGTCTGAACTTGTGACATCAAGAAACCAATCATTTATAATAGCCTATGCTAAAACGGTTTTTATTTTATTTTTTACATGCTATAGGCCTATATGTAGACGACCTATTACTGAAAAAACTGGTCGCCATCATGATCAAATATCAAGAGAATAGTGTGAATTCTAAAAGTATGATATAGGATTTAACTAATGATCATTTTCTTAAGAGAGTAGGCCTATCTCAGTTTTCTCATTCCGTCTTTTATCTACTATCCACCTTATTTTTCACAGCCGTTTGTAAATTGAACTGCTTCCGCTGTCATCTGCTTCCAGGTTGCCTATGTTTAACTACAAAACAGCTTGTTATGCTGCTTGATATTGCAAACTAGTATTTCAAATTCTTACCATATTATTTGAATGTATTGTTTTAATTATTATAACACACTGGTTGTGGCGCAAATAGTTTAGCTTTCGAATAAAAAAAATAAGGTGCGACTAGTAGCCTACACAATTAAAAAAATAATTAGGCCTACCATATAGCAGTTAATGTGTAATAACTGTCAAAATCCGAAACAAAAGAAAAATATAACACAACCATAACCTACAACATGCAATATAGCCTAACTGCTGTCAACAAAATGTAAACTAGAGAAGATCGCACGCGCGCGCACACACACACACACACACACACACACACACACACACACACACACACACACACACACACAAAGCTAGGAATTACGTCTGAATACAACATATCTAACTATAGGATACAAAAAAAATTAAATGATTTTGGGGAAAACATAAATAGTGCACAATGTCAGATATCTGAAATATGAGACGATTTAAAGAGTTCAATTTAGGTGAATGTCTTAATTATGCTGAGACGGTTGCTGGTCGAATGACAAATTAAACAAATCTGACAGATGGACAGCACACAATACCCAGCAATGGGGGGAGTCCACTAGCTAATTGTGTTGGAGTCAGTTGGGTCATCAATCACCCTGAGCTGTAAAGCAGCGTTCAGTCTATGGCACTGATGTAAAAGCATGCTTGATGTCATGTAATATCATTAGCTATATGTTTAATTCACCATTCACAGCCTATGCGTGACAGAAGAGGAAGATGGCAGTTTGAAAGTGATTGTTGGTCTCGTTTGGGTGGTTATAGGCTCAATAGCCACATTTGAAATGATAAGAAGTCTAAAAATAGCTGCCTAGGACTAGCAAAAAAAAAGAAAAAAAAAAGTATGTCTTCTGGACATCAAAGGCTCATGCTTATGTAATATCTGTCATTCATGTTTTCCATATATATATATATATATATATATATATATATATATATATATATATATATATATATATATATATATATATATATATATATTACTGAAAATATTGTAGAGGATTCCATCAATAAAAACAAAACCTGCTATAGTTTAAATGTATGTGTGATTAAATATGCAAAGCCATATATGATGATTATTCATTAATTAATAGGGGTTGCGGATGTTCTCTCTCATGCATTAATTACATCCGCATTAGCATATCAATTAGATGAATCAGAGATCATGTAATTAAAGCCCAAGTAGGAGCACCTGCTGCCTCTGTTTATGTTTGTGTGTGTGATATCATGCCTTTAGCTGCGCGTACACTTGTCAATCAATTGCTTCTTTATTCTGTTTGCCTCTGATGGAATGTTTCACATTTAGATATTTTACGAACATTTCTTTTTTTACATTTTAAGTAGAAAAAAACAATTAAATTAACTTGCCTAATTATTTTGTAAATTTACATGGTATGCAACATCGTTTCATAAAAGAACACAATCTTAATTAGAGGAAGGGTGTTCCACACAAATATCTATAAATCTAAAACACATGTTAGCTCTTGAACAGCAGTCCTCTGGAATCAGTCCGCTTGCTCAAACTACTCATGGCTTTTGAGATGGGTCCATCTGCTGGCCACATGATGTCCCGACCACTCTGATTGGCTCTTTGCTTGCAGTTTCAGTTACATAACACATAAGTGTATTTTCTAATGTAACAACTTCAAAACTACATTTTATACTCCGTGAATCTTAAAACATTAATGTGATCCCTCATTAACAGACACACAACCCTTTGATGCTCAACGGGTGACTGTTTAACATGTATCATCATGGATAAACTTGATTGTAAAATTTACAACTGGATTAGTTTACACACACTAAATATAGTCTATATGATCATTTATCCTTTGTGCCTATAGGTTTCCTATGCATGGGTCCACCGTATGCTCCATTTACTTCCGTATTCACTTGTCTGTTTTTGTCACTTTCATCATTTTCTTTTTCGTCTCTCTTTCTGTATCAAACTGATTCAGTGCTCATAATTCGTTTTTCTTCCAGTTAAACTCATCAGGTGTATTTAACTTTACAGTGGACATTGGTAATGTCTTCCTGGCATCCCAGCAGCGCAGGGTCACTGGTGCTGGCTTCTGCGATTTGAGTGGCCAGGTTCCACTGGATGGGATTCACAATCACCGGAAGAAGGATGGTCTCAGGGCTTGTCCACACGGACACGGGTATTTTTATAACCGGAGTTTTTACTCCTGCGTTTTTGAAAAAAAAAAAAACACACGCTATCAAGCGCTGTCAAGAGCATGCCACACCAGCAGGCGCGATATAACCCTAACCGTAAAGCCACGTTGGCCAATCAGAAGCCTAACAAAAAGTTATTAAAGGTTCCGGTAGGCGGATAACGGTGCACAATCTGACACCGCAAGGCAAAAACCCCGGTTTTACTGTCTACACGACAACACTGTAAATCCTCAGCGTTTCTGAAAATCCTCACCCTGGCTGGAGTTTTCAAAAATGTTCGGATTCAGTGACCTGATACTGCGTGTCCGTGTGGACGGACGTAAAAAAAGTCACGGTTATAAAAATACCCGTGTCTGTGTTGACAAGGCCTCAGGCTCAGGGCAAGGAGACTTCAGTTGAGATGAGACTGGGAATCTGCCTTGATGTTCTTGGACCCTGGACACTAGGAGAGAGACCATGAAGTCAAACCAGCTGAAGAACAGGGCCCAGCGCGCCTGGCAGAGGTCAGCCAGTGACAGATATTCCAGGTGGTCAGTAATGATGAGTAAAGGATGACAGGGACCCTCCACTCCTTGAGTGCCAGCTTGATCGCAAGGAGCTCCCGGTTGCCAATATCATAGTTCTGCTCCACCAGGGAAACTTCCCAGGGAGAAGGCGGCACAGGTGACCAGACGTCCTGTTTTTCCCGGGACAGTCCCGTCTTTCAGCTCTATTTTTAGTCTCCTGACTTATCATGAAAAAAAAGTTTTTTTCTCATGAATTAGCATGTTGCTAGCATGTTTTATCTCATTGCTAGCATAAATTAGCATTCTTTACCACATTGCTAACATGATTTAGCATGTTGCTATCATGAATTAGCAGGTTTTAACCATAGACTGTAAAAAAATATGAACGTAGTTTCCGTGACGTCACCCGTAGGTTTCTAAAAAGCCTTTTTGAAGCCCAAAGTGGGCAGAGCTGGCTGTCGCCATCTTGGCAGCGCCACTCCCGGATAACCGGAAATGGGCAAAGAGGTGGGATTAGCTGAGGTGAAGTGACGCTAACAGACAGCAGACAAATGGCTAGTAGTGACAGCAGCGGCAATCCACCTGTCACTCAAGTGGCCACGCCCTTAATTGTGCAAAACTTTAAGGCTTAATATAATTTAAATGGATGAGTTTTAAAAAAATATCACCCCCCTCAGTTGTCATGAAGGGCAAAATTAGCTATATAGACCATAAACACTTTTTGTATCAGGCTGGAAACATTTTTTTTTTTTTTTTGTAAATAGGAGGTCTATGGGATTGACTCACTTTTGGAGCCTGTCTCTAGCGGCCAGTCGATGAATTGCAGTTTAAGTCACTTTCAGTGTTGGATTCAAAAGAGAGACCGGAAGGTTGCCGCTTGGTTTTAACACATTGCTGACATTAATTATCATGTTGCTAACATGTTTTAACATGTTGGTAGCCTGAAGTAGCATGTTGCTAGCATGAATTAGCATGTTTCTAGAATGATTTAGCATGTTGCTAACATGTCCTAGGCTAGTTGCTAGGCTTTGCCAGTTACATATAAATAGTGGATGAAGCGTATACTCTATTACAGTTATTGTATGCTATTAAAGTTTTGACTCCCTCAAGCGTATGGGACTTTTATGATTTTCACATTTTAACATGTAAATTAACATTTGTGGAGCTCGCTTTACCATTGCTCACAGAGTCAGCAATTTTTTTTTGTGACTCAAAGTTGCGAATCTGATCAAGTGCATGAATTTGAAGACCTTTTTGCATACAATTCTGTTGTTTATGGCCATAGTTTTTCGTCAGCTGACTGCACTGCAAAATTGATCAAGAAGGCCATGATCCAAAATTTTCTTCTGCTCGCACCAAATCTGAGGCTATGATAGATAGATAGATAGATAGATAGATAGATAGATAGATAGATAGATAGATAGATAGATAGATAGATAGATAGATAGATAGATAGATAGATAGATAGATAGATAGATTGATAGATAGATAGATACTTATGTGTAAATACTTTTCAAATGTCAAGGGCTCTGATGGATAGAGGTTTGATTGAACATCAACAAAGATAGGCTACTGTATAGGGAAGGAAGAGTGGCCATTAAAATCTCTGTTTATTGAACACAAAAATAAAACACGGACAACAATGGCTTGAATCAACGACAAACGCAGAGTCACTCTCAGGTCTCTCTTCTTCTCGCTGGCAGACAGCAGGTTTTTTGATAACACCTGTTAGTCTCAGTTACACACAGGTGTTCCCTTACCGCACACATCCCGATCTCTCTCTCTCTCTCTCTCTCTCTCTCTCTCTCTCTCTCTCTCTCTCTCTCTCTCCATCCATCCTCCGCACCTGATTCGACAAATGTGGACTATCCCACCGTCCATCTCTAATACTCAATGTGGACTATGATTTACTATAAACGCATCTAGAAATGATCTGAATGAAAAGTGCTTATGAAAAAATATGGCAGCAAGCAGGCAAAATAAATTGAGGAGGTCATGTGCCAGCTGTGCAATTATTATTTATTTAGATAATTATGATAACACTAACGGATAGGGTAGCCTACTAACCTCCTTGTATGGGGAAGAGAAAAATGAAAGCTCTCACCGAGCAGAGAATTGACATCTGACAGAAAGATCAATGCTTTTAAACTACATCTCCAATTTTGCATTTCAAACAAAAATGTTTAAATAAAGAAAAATCCCAGCTGTTATTATACTTCCAGTTCATTTGACACACTGGAACCCTCTATCCATATTCTTGGTTTTACAAAAATCTGTCTACTTACAAAAAAACAGCCAATGGCGTTAGGCGGTGTGGCATTTTTTTGTTAGATGTAAGGAGAGATGTTATGTGTCAGAGGTGTAAAATATCGGAGATATTTGGTTGCAATGTGTGGAGCAAACATGAATATTCATGAGTTTCCTGTTTCATGCAGTTACCATGAAATCAAAATTTACACTTCTAATTTTTTATGGAATAATGCAGTTATTATTATAAATGAATTATCAGTGCACATTATATATTTTTATTCACATGCCCCCATATTTTTTAATCAAAATAACTCCCAATGTTATTAGGTGGGACCCAATGGACATAATTAATTTCCACCCTATGATTTTTTTTTCTCATTCAAGAAGCCGTTTCACTCAGATATATACGTCACACTAGAGAAAAATTTGATTATTACATACATAACTCATCACCTCCCATTAAGATCTTTTTTTTAAAAAAAGGTTGTAAAGAAAATGTTGAGGTGGGGATCTATTCACAATGGTAATTTTTTTAATCAAAAACAAAAGACTAAGGCACTCAGGAGAACCAGGAAACAACAAAAGGGAATAAAACACCATGCACGATGAGAACAGACCAAGAACCAAACAGGTTCACCTATGTATGTATATGGGAGAAAACAATGTGGGAGAAAACAAGGAACAGGTGGGACTAACCAATTAACAAACCAGTAACCATGGGAACAGATGAAATCGGGACTAAAAACAGGATGAAACTGAACTCAAAGTAGAAAAACACAAACAAGATGAGACATAACCCCCCTTTATTGGAACGCAGTCAACTCGGGTGTGACGTCCTTCCAAGCTACGACATCCCTCCTCCGAGGTAACCAGCATTAAATCCAGTACAGTCAGGTCTGTAGTTCTGGCTCCAGGACGGGCTGGGCCTCTGTCAGACAAGCGCATATAAACTGGTTCAGGGTCTATGATGAGCATGACGAGGGCCGGGGACTCGGGCAGGTCTTTGTAAGGACATCCAGGACAGATTTGGGGAGGTTGAGATTCTCCTTCACCTCACCCACTGTGAAAGGGGATCCATTTTGCTGAAGTACCCACTCTATGTACTCACAGAGGGTCCCTGGAGGACCAGCCCCAAGCAGAGGAGATTTTGCATTTAATCCAGCATGGAAAAATACTCGGATGTAGTCGTCTGGGTGATGCACACGTGATCAGGTCTAAGAACTCGCATGTTCCTCAAGGGGACGATCCCCCTGAGTGAGGAGGATCTGTACTGCTGCTAGATCCATATACATCTGTTCTTCTGTCACAAGGTGGTTGCAAAAACAGAATTAAGGCCAGGATCTATTGACTAAACACAGGAGATGAAATTGAACTCAAAGTAATTAAAAAAACAACAACAATATGTGACGCATTCAGAGGATGTTACCCATGTTTACACATGAGTGCAATGCTGGACTCATATTCATAAGACATGAGAAATTCAGGTCTCCCCCTATTATTTTGGGAATAAACAAATAAAATGCAAGTATAGATTAAAAATTTGTATAAATGCCCCACATAAACGGCCTGGCTGAAAGCTGAGAGGTACTGTGTCATACACTCGTTGTTGTGAGGTATAAATTTGCAGATGCTACTTAAAATAAGTTAAACTTCTATAACTTTAACTTGACAATTAAATCAATATGAATTAGTTTTACGATCTCTTTATGAACTTTTTGAAGCGTCAAAGTGGTAGTTGCGTAGCTAGCTGTCTATGGGGGGACAGAAACTCAGATTTCATTAAAAGATCTTCATTTGTGTTCCGAAGATGAACAAAAGTCTTACAGGTTTGGAACGACATGAGGGTGATTATTAATGACAGAATTTTCATTTTTGGGTGAACTATCACACCGGTGTGTGGCTATAGGGTTTCTGAATTCTTGCCCCTTTAACAGTAAATAAGCTAATAAATAACATAAGTTGTTGGGCTATGTTATTTATTAGTGCTGCCAGTTATAAGAAATTATTCAAATTAAGCCTATATCCTACTGACCATTTGTAGAAACCAGCTTCAAATTAAGCTGGTTTGGTGTGGTCTACCCATCTACCAGCGTCAACCAGCATCACCTGCTCGATCTGCGTTTTGGATGATGGTCCAAAACGCAGATCGAGCAGGTGATGCTGGTTGACAAGCTGGCCTAACTGGTTTTTCCACGAAGGCAGGTGCACTCGAATATCACAGAACAGTTCGTGTTTCCTCCTCCCTACAGTACAGATGGACCAATCACAAAACACACCTGACTTCCCGCTGGATCTCGCGATCGAGGCTTTGGAAAATCCATTGATAAATTCGGTCGTTTCGATGGGTTTGGTGACAGTCTTCCCGGACAGCCCGCAGCATCACGCAGCATCACGCAACAATGAGTGACACAGCCATTTCATTCGCCAAGGACTTTTTAGCAGGTGGAATCGCCGCCGCGATCTCTGAGACTGCTGTTGCGCCCATAGAAAGAGTCAAACTGCTCCTTCAGGTACGCTTTATAACGAATTAATATATCTACATTACCATACACACGAAATATGTAGGCTATTACATTCTAAATTAGGAAAATATATCATTTTCACACATTTGTCCATCTTAGTAGGCTATTAATTTATAAAAAGGGCTTGTCCATTATAAGATCATGTTCTTAATGATATACTACATAACTTTATCTTTATAATAGGCCTATAATAAAAATATATTGGACCAATGATGATTCTGAAATAAGATTCGCCTGGACTGGAGCCAAAACTGTTGCTATGACGCGTATCTGACACAAACTGCGCGCTATATTTCAGAGCTAATGTTTGGATATTTCAGCAAACAGTTTGCTTTGTGAATAATCAGTTTAACAGCATTAAGTTAAATTGAACTTTATCATTCAACATGCATTGTGCTTGTGCATTGTAGACGTTTTCTCGAGTTCTTGAATTCAGTTACTTTTGTGAAAATAGAGAGGTAGGCTATATCTAAATATTTTTTCCATGAAGTATTAATGATTAAATTTTTTTTATTTTAGTAAGTAGCCTTTATACATAACATGTCAATCAGGTGACAATTTACATTCTAGGTATTTTTCCAAGCTATGAACAAATTATTTGGTCAGTAGCCTGACATCTCAAATTTGCCTTTTGGAAAAAAGAGAAAAAAAAGATGTAATGCTGAGTTTGGCTAATAGAATACGTATTTGATTAAGGGTTTTAAAGGTTCTTTTTGTGTTTTGGGAATTGACAACGTTTTCTTCACATTGTCAAATTCCAAATATACCCCTAATTATAGAATGCCCATATGCCTTATTTCAGAGGCGACCAAAATTGCAGCACAAATAGACTAAAACTTAATATTGCGAGTAGGCTATATTACATTACTCTGCTACAATGACAGCGAGCAGCAGCATCACACAACAAAACAGATTATAATCAACACAATCTATTTTTGTCGACTTGTTCAGTTTCCACTGGTGTAAGATCTTTCAAGCGCACAACCTCTATGTAATTCAACTCTCGGTTTAACCTTGGGGTGTGGCTCCCATGCTAATGAAAACGATCTAAAAAGCATAATTTTGGAGGGAAAAAGTTGCAAACAGATATTGAAATTTTTTGTTGACTGACTGACAACTTGTCCTGCAACTGGCGACAAGATCGTGCAGACAATTACAATTCTTTAAATGATGTGCTGATATTTAATTGTTTGAAAACCTGTGCCATTTTCTTCCAGATCCAGCATGCCAGCAAGCAGATCGCAGTAGACAAACAATACAAAGGTATTGTAGACTGTTTAGTACGTATTCCCAAGGAGCAGGGGTTCCTGTCCTTCTGGAGAGGCAACTCGGCCAATGTCATTAGGTACTTCCTAACACAGGCTCTCAACTTTGCTTTCAAGGATAAGTATAAGAAGATTTTCCTGGATGGCGTTGACAGCCGTACTCAGTTTTGGAGGTACTTCGCTGGTAACCTGGCCTCTGGTGGAGCAGCTGGAGCCACGTCTCTGTGCCTTGTCTACCCGCTCGACTTTGCCAGAACCCGTTTGGCTGCTGATGTCGGAAAGACTAATACGGAGAGAGAATTCAAAGGCCTTGCAAACTGTTTAGGAAAGATCTTCAAGTCTGATGGTGTGAAGGGCTTGTATCAGGGCTTCAGCGTGTCTGTGCAAGGCATCATCATCTATAGGGCGGCATACTTCGGCATCTATGACACCGCAAAAGGTAGCTTTTCAAGACTAGAATCTGCCACCATCAGGGGCTTAGATATAGGGCTGCACGATAATCAGGATTATTTTACTCGAATTATAATTGTGATTATTAATAATTTTTCATTTGAGAAACGTCTTTTTATTATTGTTGATCTGTCATGCACAGATATGCAAAGATACACTCTAAAAAAAATGCTGGGTTGTTTTAACCCAATTGGATTACCATTGGGTTACATTTTTTAATTACATCTTTAACCCAATGTTTGAGTTTGTCCATATTTGACCCAAAATTGGGTTAAAACAACCCAGCATTTTTCAGCAACCACAATTGCAAATAATGTAGTCGAGACACATGTTTGGAGGCTCGTTACCAATTTAAAATAACATTTTCAGCGTAAAAACAAATGGGCCAATGGTAAAACTTTATTTTACAGTGTCATTGTTACATTGTATGTTACATATAGTTATTATAGTCATAACTATAAATGAAGCATAATTACATGCAACTAACCCTAAACCAAACCAAACCCTAATCCCTAACCCTATAGTAAGTACATGTAGTTAATTAATATTACTCAATACTTAAATGTATATTTCGAGTGTAACAAATACACCTTAAAATAAAGTTAATATACAAATTAAAATATTAATTAACTTCATGTACTTAGGGTTAGGAATAGGGTTTGGATTGGTTGAATGTAATTTTACAACATTTATAGTTATTACCTCAGTAATTACATGTAACGTGTAACAAGGACATTGTAAAATAAAGCGTTACCTTGCAATATTTATCATAAAGGATTTATCCATCATTATTTATTTCAAACAATTCATGTGACCTCATAATCTTTACTCAAATTTTACTCTGAGTTTTTTCCCCTCCCTCTTGCAGCGACATCTCTTTTCTTCTATGATATTTACTGGCTCGAGGTCACTCACATGAGATCAACCAAATCAACTCTGTAACCAATTTGTTTATTATGTCCTCAAACCAGGAGCCTCCAACATTTGCAAAACAAAGCGTAAAGAGGGTGACACACTGAACGAGAAGCACCACGTCTTTAAAATACGAGTAGATTGTTTTCTATGTGTATGCACTACTGGTGTCATCATTCTGCATCTGTCACGACGTCCAACTACGACTCTAGAGGCTGTTTAAAGTCCCCCACCACACCTATGTACTGGCCGATGAGGGCCCCAAGAGCCCCCAAATCCTAGGACAAAAAACAATCAAACAAATAAAATAAATACATAATTCATTACATTTTTATATAGCGCTTTTCTAGGCACTCAAAGCGCTTCACGTGGAAGGGGGGATCTCCTCAACCACCACCAATGTGCAGCATCCACCTGGATGATGCGACGGCAGCCATATTGCGCCAGAACGCCCACCACACACCAGCTTACTGGTGGAGAGGAGACAGAGTGATGAAGCCAATCAGTGTATATATATATGGGGATGATTAGGAGGCCATGATGGACAGAGGCCACTGGGCAAATTTGGCCAGGACGCCGGGGTTACACCCCTACTCTTTCGAAAGACATCCTGGGATTTTTAATGACCACAGAGAGTCAAGACCTCGGTTTAACGTCTCATCCGAAGGACGGTGCTCTTTTTGATAGTATAGTGTCCCCATCACTATACTGGGGCGTTAGGACCCACACAGACCACAGGGTGAGCGCCCCCTGCTGGCCTCACTAACACCTCTTCCAGCAGCAACCTGGTTTTCTCAGGAGGTCTCCCATCCAGGTACTAACCAGGCTCAGCCCTTCAGTGGGCAACCAGTCTTGGGCTACAGGGTGATATGGCTGCTAGCATTTACATAAATAATTGCTTTGGGCCCTAATAAAAATTAATACTTCACACTTTCAGTTATTGGGCCCTACAGCTCTACACTCAGGGCCATAGAGGTCCATACCTTGGTATATAATAAAGGTTGTGAAATAATTGCCCAAATTAACTCTACTTTAGGGCTGTAAGGATATTGCACAACACCAAGATAACGGACCTTCTCATCTGAGCTGTCAGCAGTGTGTCACCACTCATCAATGTCAAAATATTTGAGGTGACCAATCCAATGAAAGATTTATGTTCACAGAAGCTGCTGAGCGCGAATTCCAGTGCGATGAAACTTTGTGCGATGAATATTTGACCGCTGTTTTACGATAGAAATGTAATCAGTGATGTAATCAGTGATGCAAACTAATACAATTTTGTTTCCTTTGGCCATTTTGAGTTGAGAATACATCATTTATGTGATTCATGTAATTGAATTCGTAACGGTCAATGCGATGAGACAATAAATAAAATAGTAATATTGTAGCCTACCATGTACCATGAATGAAAGCTATAACATGCAACATGTAAAATTATGTTGATCTTTTTCTGCTTTAGCCAAAAATATAATACTTTAATGAATGTTTTCAAACTAAAACACTCTGTTGGTCTTAAATTGTTAACCCTTATTGGGCAACGGCATCCATTTTGGTATTTGTTTGAAGCATGTGTGTTTTCCAGGCATGCTGCCCGACCCTCAGAACACTCATATCGTGGTCAGCTGGATGATCGCTCACACAGTCACTGCTGTCGCTGGGTTCATATCGTATCCCTTCGACACGGTACGGCGTTGCATGATGATGCAGTCTGGACGTAAAGGAGGTAATAGCCTATCCCAAAAAAAAAAAAACGTTTTCCTCCCATGTTCCATCCAAAATCTGTGTTTGTTTGGTTATGTCCAGTCTTTAATGTCATGAGTGTTTAATTCTTTGATTTCAGCTGATATAATGTACAGCGGCTCGCTGGACTGCTGGAGGAAGACTGCGCGTGATGAAGGTGTCAAGGCCTTCTTCAAGGGTGCCTGGTCTAATGTTCTCAGAAGCATGGGTGGATCCTTCGTCCTGGTGCTGTACGACGAGCTCAAGAAGATCATGTAACACTTCACAGAGTTACACTCTTTGAAGAAAAAACGTTCAACCCTGTGTATTATGTGAATTGCATGTGAATGCTTTACTCGTGAGGCTGAGAAATAAAGGTTCTTTATTGGCATCTATGGTTCCATGAAGAACCTTAAACATCCATGGAACCTTTTTGTTGCACAAAAGTGTTCTTTAGAATATTTAAAATATTATATTGCTTCTTTAGGGAAACAACGTTGGTTCTTCCATGGCATCACTGCAAAAACCCCTTGGAACTTTTAAGGGTGTTGTACTACTAGTTATATGATATATGTGCAGTTTTTATTTTCTTAAATGCATTAAATTCTTTCCCTGACTTATCACGAGTCAATGTTGTCATTCAGATATCAAATACACTCAAAAAAACAAACATTGTAAGCCTTTTTTCAAGATTTACGCATTTCAATTAACTGTAAAATTCCATCAAATTGAATTGAATAATCTTTACATATTACTCATATTTTGAATTAAGAATTTTAAATGAGTAAAAAAAATGATGAATACGAATCACATAAACTAAAGGGTCCATATTCCCTTGTTCCATTAAGATTTAAAAAACATTTTCTGGCCCCATAAGGATCTCAGGGGACTCCACTGTACACCGTCCCATTTCCCCCTCAGTGACGCCCCTGCTCCCTTTGAAATAAAATTCAAAATACTCTCCAGCCTTTGCTGAGGACTTACAGAACTGTTATCAACAATTACCTCAGAGTTTGACTGCTTTGCTATTGCTGGGGATTTTAATATTCACATAGATAATGCAGAAACCAATATGGCAAAAGAAATCATAACTGCTATAAATACTTGACCCACACACAATCGTGGACACACTCTAGATTTACTTATCAGTAAGGGTCTAAACATTTCATCGATTGTTATTAAGGACATAGCACTGTCTGATCATTTCTGTATTTTCTTTGAAATATTGATCTCTCCTACTATTGAAGCTAGATCTGTGTCTGTCAAGAAGAGATGCTTAAATGAGAACACTAGTGTGCTATTCATATCTTTAACACCAAGCATATCTGCGGACTGTTGATTCTCTCCTTGAGTCCTTTAACTCAAAAGTACAGAGTAATAGATGATAATTGGAAGAAGAGTGGCAGACAAAAAGCACCTTGGAGAAACTCAACAACAGTGCAAAATATGAAAAGACAATGCAGAAAAGCAGAGCACATGTGGCGAAAGACAAACCTTGTAGTCCATTATAACATCTATAAAGACAGCATCCGCGCTTTCAATATGGAACTAGGCAAAGCTGGACAGACTTTCTTCTCGAATATTATAAACAGAAATATAAATAACACATGCACTCTTTTTGCTACTGCAGAGAGTCTAACAAACCCCCCCCCCCCGAGCCAGATTCCCAGTGAAATGCTCTCAGACAGCAAGTGCAGTGAGTTTGCTTTCTTCTTCTCTTAGTAAATCAATAATATCAGAAAGGTGATCAGCATATCCTCGTGTGGCACTGAGGTCAGACAGATCATATCCTCAGATCCGCAGAAATTTACTATGTCTGATTTCGAAGAAATTAATGGTAAAAATTTTGGAAGAAACCGTACAGCACCTTAAAACATCAACCTGCGCTCTTGACAGACTCCTCGCCTCCTTTTTCAAAAGTGTGTTAAACAGCTTAGAAGCAGATCTCCTAGAAGTGGTAAAGTCCTCACTTCTCTCTGGGACTTTTCCAAACTCCCTGAAAACTGCAGTTGTCAAGCCCCTCCTGAAAAAGAGCAATCTAGATAAGACCATAAAGCAACTATAGACCGATCTCCAATCTTCCTTTCATAGGCAAGATCATTGAAAAAGTTGTCTTCAATCAGCTAAACAACTTCCTAATCTCAAATGGATACTTTGACAATTTTCAATCTGTTTTCCGACCACATCACAGCACAGAGACAGCGCTCATAAAGATAATAAACGATATTCGCTTAAATAGTGATACAGGCAAAACATCAGTGCTGGTACTACTCGACCTCAGTGCTGCATTTGACACTGTCGATCACAACACACTTCTTGACAGGCTGGAAAACTGGGTCGGGCTTTCTGGGATAGTCTTAAAATGGTTCAGGTCATACTTAGAAAGGAGAGGTTATTATGTGAGTATAGGAGACCATAAGTCTGAGTGGACATCCATGACTTGTGGAGTCCCTCAAGGCTCAATTCTTGTGCCACTCCTATTCAACCTGTATATGCTCCCAATGAGCCAAATAATGAGAAAGAACCAAATTGCTTACCACAGCTATGCAGATCTACTTAGCCCTATCGCCTAACGATTACAGCCCCATTGACTCCCTGTGCCAATGCATTGATGAAGTCAACAGATATATTTACACTCACCTAAAGGATTATTAGGAACACCTGTTCAATTTCTCATTAATGCAATTATCTAATCAACCAATCACATGGGAGTTGCTTCAATGCATTTAGGGGTGTGGTCCTGGACAAGACAATCTCCTGAACTCCAAACTGAATGTCAGAATGGGAAAGAAAGGCAATTTTGAGCGTGGCATGGTTGTTGGTGCCAGACGGGCCGGTCTGAGTATTTCACAATCTGCTCAGTTACTGGGATTTTCACGCACATCCATTTCTATGGTTTACAAAGAATGGTGTGAAAAGGGAAAAACATCCAGTATGCGGCGGTCCTGTGGGCGAAAATGCCTTGTTGATGCTAGAGGTCAGAGGAGAATGGGCCGACTGATTCAAGCTGATAGAAGAGCAACTTTGACTGAAATAACCACTCGTTACAACCGAGGTATGCAGCAAAGCATTTGTGAAGCCACAACACGCACAACCTTGAGGCGGATGGGCTACAACAGCAGAAGACACCACCGAGTACCACTCATCTCCACTACAAATAGGAAAAAGAGGCTACAATTTGCAAGAGCTCACCAAAATTGGCCAGGAGTTGCCAGGAGTTGCCTGGTCTGATGAGTCTCGATTTCTGTTGAGACATTCAGATGGTAGAGTCAGAATTTGGCGTAAACCAACACATTCTCACACCCCAACTCGTCACATATGGACGCTTGGTCATGACCCCCTGGCGTCACTTATTGACGCACTGGGTATACCTTTGTCGTCATTTTTCAACGTGCAGGGTAGTCCGATAGACTATAGATCTCTGAACCGGAGCCTGTAGCGTTGAAATTTGACGTCTTGGGTAAGCTCACCGCAATGGTCTGCTGCGAATGGGTCGAGAGTCGAGACTGCAATAAATAAAAATAGAAAGGAATAGGCTACAATAAATGATCTATGCCAGGGCTAGTATAATGGTGGCTCCCAGATCATATTTATCTGGCCCTCCATCTGTTTTTTTATGTTTAAAACCCCCACAATCTGATATCAATTGCCCTCTCCGCAAAGGTTTAGCACGTTCATAGGCAACCGCTTTCATCGGTGAGTTTAACAACGCTCATTGTGGTGTACAAACCCACAAAGAGTTGTGGTGAGAGGTGTGAGAATGTGTTGCGTAAACAGAATGAGAACATGGATCCATCATGCCTTGTTACCACTGTGCAGGCTGGTGGTGGTGGTGTAATGGTGTGGGGGATGTTTTCTTGGCACACTTTAGGCCCCTTAGTGCCAATTGGGCATCGTTTAAATGCCACGGCCTACCTGAGCATTGTTTCTGACCATGTCCATCCCTTTATGGCCAACATGTACCGATCCTCTGATGGCTACTTCCAGCAGGATAATGCACCATGTCACAAAGCTCGAATCATTTCAAATTGGTTTCTTGAACATGACAATGAGTTCACTGTACTAAAATGGGCCCCACAGTCACCAGATCTCAACCCAATAGAGCATCTTTGGGATGTGGTGGAACGGGAGCTTCGTGCCCTGGATGTGCATCCCACAAAACTCCATCAACTGCAAGATGCTATCCTATCAATATGGGCCAACATTTCTAAAGAATGCTTTCAGCACCTTGTTGAATCAATGCCTCGTAGAATTAAGGCAGTTCTGAAGGCGAAAGGCGGTCAAACACAGTATTAGTATGGTGTTCCTAATAATCCTTTAGGTGAGTGTATATTAGAATGTTATTTTAGTTCGTTTTATTTCCAAACTCAAGCTGAAATTGAAATGAGGTTTTAATTTCAGTCACAAGTGTTTGTTTTCTGTTAGTGCATTTTTTTTACCATTATTGAATTAAGGTGATTTGTTAAATAAGAACAGTGTAATATTTTTGTATTGTTATTATTAAACAACAAGAACTGGAAACTGTTTTCATATTGCCTTATGTTTTATTACCGGTTGTGCCTATCAAGGTGCTCAGATCGAGTACGCAGGGTATGCACGTGCATGTGGGCTCCTCAAACGAGGGCCCCCATTAAAAATGTTCTGCATTTGGGGCCAGAGCTGTCTTGCTCTGCCACTCCTGAAGCCCGTGTGGTTATTCGTTCTTCAGACATCGTTCACGCTTATGGCGTTCCTATAGCATCATCTCCGTGACACAGCGTCTTGTTCCCCTTCTCAGGGAACCGGGTTGCAAACGCCAGTTCTCAAACGGGGCCGCACAGAAGTTCTAGAACAAAATATGTAATTCAATTTTCAATATTCATCTGCATTTACTGTGAATAGTAAATTAATGTTAAAATTAAATTTAATTGCGTCATGAATTTTCTTTGGGGGCCCCAAAGCGATGCACCCTACATGAAGAGGGCCTCATGTTGAAACGTTTGAGAATCAGCATACGCAACCTGAAACAGTTTTGTTATTTTTATAAATCTGTTTATTATTCGTTTTCTGTTTCATCAAAAGGGGAAAAAAACCTTTAACCCGGTTAAAGTTTAGCAACATAGTGATGTTTGCCATTCATAGATATCCGTAATAAAGGCTAGATGTCTTACGGCAGAGTCTCTATCGTCATCACCGGCGGCCATCTTGTCACAGGCAAGCTTTCTGGCGGGCTCTGTGGTCCCCGATGTAAGATGAGTGATCAGCACGAACACAAATACTCTTATCTCGTTGAAATCTTGACGGATTTACAAACGGTTTGGTTTCTTACAAACATTATTAACGTGGCTATAATTCTGGATGATTATTTATTTATACACTGATTATTCATAAGTATGCAGTGTCATAACTACATCTCTGACGTTTATAACAAACCAAACCGTTTGAAAATCGGTAGAAAATTGAGCAAGTTATGATCATTTAAAAAGTACATGCACTATTAAAACACAATGTTACGAGTGACGAGCTGACTATGACAAGTTGGCCGCCAGGTGCGGACGTCGACCTCCATTGGCCAGCAGCGCGGACGAGACATCTAGCCTTTATTATGGATATCTATGGTGCCGATAATGTAGTATATTACTCTTTGAAAAGTTTGACATACTTTAAAAACATAGTAGGCAGTATAAGCAATATTTCAATGTGGTCGGCCCTATCACTTTTTTACAACACATTGTTCCAAAGCAGCTTTAATGGATTTTTTGGGATAAAATTTACAATCTTCTCCATTGAAGACAGCATAACCTTCAGTTGACACATATTTAATGCAAATATAGGTACAGACATACAAATGTTAATTTGCGCAGATATAATCCAGACACATGGTCACCAGTGTAGACATGATAATGCGATCACACCTTCTCAGGGACGGACTGGGACTAAAAAACGGCCCTGGACTTTGACTAGGCCCGGCCCAAAGAAATCGGCGCGCGGAAACTCGACAACAATAACGCCTGCCGCCTGTCACATGACTTCAATTGTGGCTCATGATACTACCATCCAAATTATAGCTAACAGCATATTATACAATCTATTCCATGCTGTCTTAAAATGAATTTATTACTTAATAATCTTAATTAATTTATGCAGTAATTAATCTTAGCTACTGCACAAATAATAATACCACATCTAAATGAAAATAGGCTGGCCCTACACCATTACAAATGTAACTTCTGTATTAAAAATCTTCAAAGTTTGTTAGCATTAACTGTAACGTTACAAACATTTTTAAAAGTAAAAGCACAACATATTTCTTAATATTAGCTACTGCATGTTGCATTTTACAGCTAAAATGTTGAAGTTTAGCTGTTTTAACTACTGTAATCATTAAAAATGTAGCAAGCTGAATATCACTTCCTAACATCATCCCTAGCAAGTAACTTGCTAATTAATTTCTGATTAATTCGGTTCGGGAGTAGTAAAGATAAAAGCCAGCCCGCACTGGTTGGGTCCTTGTATGCGCTTCATGAGGCACACACACACACTAGCACACACACACAAGGTCTCTAGCTCGCTCCACTCTGTAAATAACAATTTATGCCATGCGTGCTCTTACTCGCTCTAGATTCCGGGAGATTTTAACTAATTTGCGGGCATCAGGGAGCCGCTATCAATATGCGGGAGACTCCCGGAACTTCCGGGAGACTTGGTATGTCTGTGACTGCGTGTGTGGCGGGTGGTGGGCCGGCCCGCCGGCCGTCCTGGAGTACCGGCCGTTCTGTGATTCTCCAGATCACACAGATGGCCAGTCCGCCCCTGCACCTTCTGGACCTGGTCAGAGCACCTGAGGTTCCTGAGGTTTTAAAAAAAGCTTTAATGGAGATAATGCGTCATCCATCTAAAAGTTGTTTAAGGTAGTCCACCATTGAAGTTATGATAGATACATAAATGTCTTCAAAATCACAATTACTGTCAAATATGACGCCCAATAACTAAATCATCAATGTGTCATAAAACCAAACAGTTGATGACTTCCATAGTATGGAAAAAGAAATACTATGGAAGTCAATGAAGCCCATCAACTGTTTGGTTACCAACATTCTTCAAAATATCTTCTTTTGTGTTCAACAGAAGAAAGAAGCTCATACAGGTTTGGAACAACTTGAGGGTGAGTAAATGATGACAGGATTTTCATTTTTGGATGAACTATCCCTTTAAATAAAAATATTTTTTTTGTGCAATCATCAGGATGATGTTTCAGATTTTTCACCAGAGTAGCAAAATCTGAGTTTATGCACAAGGCATAGTGTATATTCAGCTGGGCATGAAATAAAACCCAAAATAAACCCAAAGCACAAAATAATGCATTTTCTTTTTTTTAACTATCCGCTAAATATAAGTCAGACAAATGAAATTGTGCATCTAAACACTCAATGCTGATTAAATATTTTATACTGAGTAAGTGAGCTAGTATAATTTACTCAGTCTGGATCATTCTTAAGCAACTAGACACTGAACATTTGCCATCAGAACAACAAGAAGCATCAGGACAGGAGTGGCAGTTCTTTCAGCACTATTGTTCACATCAAGCGATGTTCCTCCACCTGGTAATAGGAGAGAAAAGATTATTAGAGTGTTATTAAAAAGGGACAAAAATGCTGTTTTACATGTTTACATGTTCTTTAGTGTGTAATGTTGCTGTGTGAGCTCCAGCGGGAGTTATTCTCTATATCAGTGTCACTGTTCCTGAACTCCCTGAAACGCCTCAGTTGCGGAAACAAACACGTCACAATTTTCTTCTTTTAAATAATTCCCACCCATACGAAAAATAAATGAAATACGCAAAATATGTGAAAACATTCAAGCATGAAAACACATTCTAGTAGAGCCCAAAAATCTAAATCAAGACTCTGTACAAGGGTATTGTGACAGCGCTTTAATTCTACATAAAATGTACAAAACTATAGGGATTCCAGAATTAACCAATTCGCCTTTGGCTAAGCCCCGCCCCCCTTAGTTACCGTTGCTACGTCCGACAAACAAACTGGTATCAATATGGCTTATGCTGTGACAGCTCTTCCTGCTGAAATTTTATCAAACTTTTATAAAGCAGCAAATAAAGTGTCCGATAGAAGTGGGCAAAAGGGTCTGCAATATACGTTCGAAGGCTATATTCACGACATACAAGGAACAACAAAGCATCCAAATAGAGGCAAAAGCATACCGGTCACAGTCAAAAAATGAACCACCGCATATCCTACTAATCGAGACGGAGGCTGGGACTAACAATATCAAGGAGCAACACTGTTCATGCAAAGCTGGGTAGGTCTCTATTCACTTCTATAATCGTTATTACAAAGCAAACGGACTACGCGAGTATAACGTTGTATTTATTAGCAGCGTGTGCTAGCTAGACGACACTTGTCAGGATTTGACTTTGTGAAGGGAAAAAAACCTCTCTGGGAAACGCGTATCTGTGTTACAAATGCCCCAGGCACAACGTTTAACCATATTTTTGATAAAACTACGATGGTAATAGCCTGCCGAGACCAAAAATATGAGACGCCTGTGTTAAAGTCAATGGAGCGCTGTGAAAAAGTGTCGGACCTCTGTGGGAGCTCGTTCTCGGCTGCGCTGTGATTGGTCAATCTACATTCTAGGGTGTGGCATAGCCAAAGGCGAATTGTTTCCATTGTTACTCACTTTGGGTCAGAGTCGGCGACCTCACATTTACCCAGAACACACTGCGCTGCTGGGCTACGGTGGCCCTGAGGAAGTAGTGGACAAATAATGAAGTGTTTTAAACATTTCTATGGATTATTTGAGAGAGGAATAAAAGTGATATTCAAATATCACATTCTTCATTTTTCACAATTTGAACCAAATACAACTTACAGCATTAGTAGGCCTACAGTCATGCAGTGTCAATTTGAGATTGTAACTGTTCACTCTTACATGAAGAAGATGCTTTTTGCTGTAGCTGGTGGAGTCCAGGTATAGACGGTGGAGTTGTTTTTGATGTTGGTGTTGGCATGGGTGATGGCACCTTTCGGGTTTCCTGAACACTAGGAAACACAAGTGACATTCAGTAACTACAATTACCAAATCTATCGACCTTATTTTCAACACAAGAGTGGGAGCGGCCATTTGTAAATTGAATGTGTCTGGCTTCCGCTGTCATTCGCTTCCAGTTATTTATCGGTGTACAAACAGCTTGTTATGCTGCTTGATATTGCAAACGGTATTGCTTAGCATATTATTTTAATGTATTGTCGTAACACACTGGTTTGTAGTGCAGATAGTTTTACCTTTACTGCACTTTATTATTCTTCTACTTATTTACATATAGGCTTAGTCCCCAATGAATCGAAAGTCTCGCATATTCACAGAACATAGTTTACTTCCGCGTTACAAAATACGGGGGATAACGGCTGTGATTTACTTATAGGTATACTATAACATAAATTGGTCATACCACAAAAACAAAAACAAGGAAGCCAGTTTAAATTTTACAAAATGGCTATATATGTGAAATCCCTCAGAAGAATCTTCCATGCATCGCAGTTTGCATAACATTGAAGCGTGGAAACTTTGATCATCATGGTCATTTTTTAGGGGTGCTGTGCAGTCTAATATTTCTAAATTAAAGGGATAGTTCACTTTGAAATTAATTTTTGGTATGTTTTAGCTTACCTCAAGGGCATCCAAGATGTAGGTGTCTTTGTTTCCGCAGTAGTTTCAATTTTGATATTTTTAGGTCAAACCGTTCTTGTCTGTCAGTCATATAATGCAGGTCTATGGTCACCACCTCGAAGAGCATGCACAGAGAAGTCCAAATTAAACATGATTTAATGACTCGTAAATGTAAGTACACATTGATGGCCTAAGACACGAAACGAGCGGTTTGTGTGAGAAAACGAACCGTATTTATATCGTTTTTACCTCTTGTAACCACAGCCACGTCCAAGTACTCTGATGGCGCGGGCGCCTCTGTCTGCGCAAGCGTCGGCAAGCCCCGGAAGTGATATCTCGCGCGTGTACGTCACTAATTGTTTACACAGAGATTTCGGACGTAATATCTCTCTTTTTTTCTAAATTCTTTCCGAAATCGTCTTCCATTGCGATTTCCTGTATATCTAAATATGTTTAGATCTTCACAGTGAAAGGTAAAATGTCCGAAATCTCTGTGTAAACAATGAGTGACGTACACGCGCGAGAGATCACTTGCGGGGCTTGCGCAGACAGAGGCGCCCGCGCCATCAGAGTACTTGGACGTGGCTGTGGTTACAAGAGGTAAAAACGATATAAATACTGTTCGTTTTCTCACACAAACCGCTTGTTTCGTGTCTTAGGCCATCAATGTGTACTTACATTTACGAGTCATTAAATCATGTTTAATTTGGACTTCTCTGTGCATGCTCTTTGAGGTGGTGACCATAGACCTGCATTATATGACTGACAGACAAGAACGGTTTGACCTAAAAATATCAAAATTGAAACTACTGCGGAAACAAAGACACCTACATCTTGGATGCCCTTGAGGTAAACTAAAACATACCAAAAATTTATTTCAAAGTGATCTATCCCTTTAAGTGGTTCTGTATTATTTAAATCATATATTACGCTTCTATTGTACCACTATGTTTATACCCCAGATCGCACAGGCACGATGTCTGCTAAAGGGCGCTTAATCTGGAAAACATCTGATAAGCATCTTAGAAAAAGAAGTTTTACCATAAACATCTTAAAGACATTTTCTAAATGTCTAATTTAACATCTGACAGGAAACAGAGACATATTGCAGATGAGCAAAATACATTTTGCAGATGTAAATGCAGACATCAAATAGACGTCTCCATGATGTGTGTGTGTCAGATATAGCCCACAGAAAGCCTTACCTCTAAGAACTTTGTGTTAGTTGGAGGAGTCTGCCAGGTTCCTAATGCTTTTGTGTCGGTTCCAGAGCGAGCCTCAAGGAGAACGCCACGGTAGTCTGGACCTTTGATTACAACTGACAAACAACAAATGAATAAACATTTTCAATTGAAGATGCTATCACTTTTTAGGTATTGATATGATATATCCCCTCTAGACATCACTTTTGGCCACTATTGTATGACCCTACAAGTTTGATTAAACCAAAATATGAGGAAACTTTTTTATATATATTTAATTTATATATATATATTTTAAATATGAGGGAAGAACAAACACCTGGTTGAACACAACTAAACCCGTTTAAGGTATAGGGCTGTCAAATGATTAATCACGATTAATCACATCCAAAATAAAAGTTTGTGTTTACATAATATATGTGGGTGCACTGTGTATAATTATTTTGTATATATATAAATACACACACATGCATGTATATTTAAGAAAAAATATTATTTATATATAAAATATTTATATATAATATAAATTATATATAAATCTATATACAGTATATACATGAAAATATTTCTTAAATATATACAAGCATGTGTGTGTATTTATATATATAAAATAATTATACACAGTGCACCCACATATATTATGTAAACAAAAACTTTTATTTTGGATGTGATTAATCACGATTAATCATTTGACAGCCCTAGTATTTATCTGACAATATTATTTAGCAAATTAAAAAAAGGCAAACTGCAGCTACAGGTTTTATTTTATAAAAAAGAATTGCAAAAAAAAAAATGCTTAGAAAAATAAGACGACAAATAAAGAAGTGTGAAGTCTGCACACTAAAAATTACTGCTCCAAAAGAATTTATTAAAAGGCAACTTTTCGACCCCCAGGTCTTCATCAGGCACAATCATTGCCCAATTTGGATGTTTGGGATGTGCACACCATTTGTGTATTTTTTAGAAAAATAAGAAGCTCACAGGAAAAAGAATACACTGAGTACAAAATAATCATTTATTAATATTTTGTTGGTTCTCTCTTGTTTCTGCATGTGTTACTAGTTTCTTTGTATTTCGGTCTGGCCAAAATTATTATTTGGCATGTTTCATTGCATTATCAGTAAAAACAATAAAATAGGACCATTGCATGATTTCTTCTAAGATCTGCGTGACTGAATTCAAAGTTCTCACTAAACTGTCATGGAAATCATCCATATTTGGAATATCAAGAAGTTTTATGTCATGAAAACTCAGGCCAATTTGAGTTTCTAGCATTAACAGGCCAATTTCTGTTAATGTATTTTAAAACAATTGACTCAAAGCACATCTACGCAATATGCTTAAAAAAATATTTGAAAAAAAAAAGAATAGCATTTGAAAGGGTGAAGGCCAATACTGTACATGCCTAAAAAAATTAATTGCAAAATAACTTAAAAATGGAGTTAATACATTAACAGAAATTGGCCTGTTAATGCTAGAAACTCAAATTGGCCTGAGTTTTCATGACATAAAACTTCTTGATATTCCAAATATGGATGATTCCCATGACAGTTTAGTGAGAACTTTGAATTCAGTCACGCAGATCTTAGAAGAAATCATGCATGTAGATTGTCAAGAAGAATTAATTTCTAAAAAGTTTCCTCTAAAAACAGCAGTGACCCGTCGTATTTTCTGCAATGGTCCTCACCTGTGATGGGTTTCCCGGGCTGTACAGTGGTGCTGCTGGTCTGGATGGTGTATGGAGCAGGGTTCGGCTGGGGCTGGATCCCTCCATGCCTCGGCATCATATCCTCACATGTTGAAGCTGGAGCCCCGTTTGGAAAGGACAGAGCACACGTCAAAATTTGAAGTACGACAACCCCGAAAAACACAGCGTCCATCGTTCCTGAAACAACAGCTCATTTGAAATAATAACATCCAACGCAAACAAATTTATACACACAGATCTTGCAGTGGACATTCGACTTTTGAAAGGCACTTTTGCTGAGTCACAATTGCATAAAAAATGAATACTTCACGGCAACACGCCATGCTGCCCCTCCCGTGCATAAAGTATCCACATGGGGTGAGGACAGGTGAGGCGGATTCTCCTCGGTTTCGGGAATCTGTCATTGATCTGGACAAAGAAACAAAGACAGCCTCTGTTGGGAAAGAAATAAGCATGGAAATGTGCAATTCTCCTCGCCAGACTCATGCTCTGGGCCACTGATATGGGTTGGTTGGTTCGTCATGTGGGATGTAAGCATTTGGTGTTTGGTAAACAGCCTTTTCTATTATAGCGTGTGATGTCATTCACTAGTTAAATTGTTAAAAACTTAGGTTAAAGGCTTTATTATTTAGAAAATGTACACAGACCTACGTATTTATAGTCTTAAGCCACACGTATGATCACAAAAAAATAAATTACCAAATGTCAAATGCAAACATAAATTTCTACTCGTCTTTGTTAGCAATGACTTAACCAGTTGGAGTGAAGGTGATTTTTTTTTAAGGCATGTTCACACAGGTGGTTTTTCACAATAGATATGAAATGTTACCAATTAAAATCATGAAATACCCGTTTTCATCATAATATTATATTTTCGTTTGAATCCTAACAAACACCTTAAAAAGTGAGCTTATGCTGTCTTTAAAATAACTGGCATAACCATAACAGTTTGACTTCCATTGTATGGGCAAGAAAAAAATACAAAACCATACAACAACATGGAGACATTTCTCAAAATATCTTATCATACAGGTTTGGAACAACACGAGTGAGTAAATGGCACAATTTTAGTTTTAACTAAAAAGATACTTCCATACTGGTCATTATTTTCTTTAAGGCAGTTACACAAAAAGGTAAATTGGTCTAAGACTGATTAGCCTTAACTAATAGCTAGTTGGACAGACCAGTTCTTAAGACAGTGTAAGGCCTGCCCAATCGGTCCAACCAGTTTCCGATAAGCGGGTGAAGGTTTCTGTGCGTTTCTGTCTTGTCAACATGGCAAAGTAATTTAGTTCCAATTAAACTTTTACCTGAATCCATTTTATCACGACCTTGAATTTAGGTTGGAATGCCAATTGGTCAGTTATATAATAGTTTGGCTACACATTTGATTGTTCTTTTCAACTCTGTACTTTATATTTGACCCGTTCATCAGGAATCTATGTCGCTATGAGGTCCTCTCGACGGCTGTTTAACGCGGGTCTCACGATCTCAAACTCATCAGTTTTTGGTCACTAAAATAATTGGTAATTGGCTAATATCCTAGATGGTCGCATTCACGCTTAGTCTAAGATATTTTGTATAGCTCCCATGGATCTGTATACACTTGAATTAAAATAACACTATCTTTAGTTAGAGGTCAAATGATTTCAGAGTAAGTCAGAATAAAATCAAATGTAACAATTTATTATGTCAGGTAAATGTATTATGCCAATTGCATAATCAATTCAAAGATAATCAATACAAAACAAAATGCTCAGAGATAAAGAGTAAAAGATGTACCTGAGTCAGGAAAATATTATACATAAGGATGAGTGTCTGAAAGACTTTTAGCATTACAGGGTGATTACCTTTTGTTTTACTTCTGTGGGGATGAGACCTTTGTACCAGTCGCACTGAGACATTTCAAACGATACCAAACATGTAGAGTTGTATGATAATCGTTCACATTAAATCATAGATTTTTGGGTGAAATTCAGGTTACCTCAGCATGATTGAGAGAGAGAAGAGATGGAGGACAAGTGAAAGAAATGTAAATTAACACAATACTGAGGTGATTGATTTCGTCTTTGGTGGGGATGCTAGTTTCTCTAGAGAGCGTTCAAATGATCGTTTCCTTTGTTTTCTCAGAGTAGCCGTCTCTTCCAGTCTTACAACAGTCTGAATATAGAGGCCGTTTACACAACTGGCCCCTGTAGTGGGTGTACAGTACACTCATATATCATTCATCAGTTACATACAAATCGATATATGTGTGAAATGAAAAGAAATACAAAAAGTTTGTTTGGTGATTTATTAGAGATGTCCTCTTGAAACATTTTCCTCACAAATAAAATCTATATATCCACTGACGGAAGACACAAATGTCCAAGTCTGTTACTTTTTCCTCTTCCGTGATCTTCTTTGATTTCTTTCTGATGGCCGTTTTGCGCCCTTTCTCGCCCCTTTGTCCTCTCTAAACATGATTGCTGGTCCTTTAGCCGCTGTGGTCCTACTCTTTATTAAGTCCTCTTTGACCATAGGCTCGATGATCGCACCCATTGTCGTGACAACTTTAGGTTTTGTCATCTTCTTCACAACATTCTGTGTGTTCCACGTCAGCCCAATAGGAGTACGGATGCAAGATTCAAACTGTGTCGTGTTTTCAAAGGGAAACGGTAGATGACTAACCTGAGAAAAAAAAAAATAATAATAATTAGAGAAATGCAGGATTGGGCTTCCTTTCAATTCATCAGATAGCATTTGAATTGGCCGCACTCGAGATGTTGAATTGAATTTCCGCTCGTCACGCTACAGTCAATGCAAAAAAAAAAAAAAAAAAAAAATCACCTATTTTGTTTAGCAACTGAAATTCAGAAATTCAATGCACTCTCACAAGAATGAGATTCTAATACTCAATATATCATACTATCAATTTTTGAGTGTTTACCTGATGGGGAGCGAGGGATGCATTTCTCTTCTCTGATATGATGACATCAGGCAGTTTCTGGTCTTGCCTGGGAGGCGGTGGGGCCATTTTCACCCTAAACCTACAGAGACAAATTAACCGTTAGGACCATTTCGCAAACACGCACAAAGCGCTTGACCAATCACGAAACACTGGTCCAGCAGACCAATCAGAGCACTTTGCACTTTTGGGAAGGAGGGGCTTCATAGAGACAGAAACTAAACCAAGCAATGCTGACAGACTGAGAAGAGAGAGGCTGCAACAATGTCAAATATGTGAGAAATAATGAGGGGTTATTTTTTACATTCAAGCATGAAAACCCATTCTAGTAGAGCCCAAAAACTAAACCAAGACTTTGTAAAAGGGCATTACGGGTCCTCTTTAACGGTAGCACTCGTTTCAAACCTTTCATTACGTTTTTATTGTTATAACCCTTTTTACATTGAAGGGTTGCTCAAAATCCCTTGTCTCTTCAATATATATCTATATTCATATATCCTTTTGAGTGTTTATATATTACTAAGTGCTGGGCCGTTATCGGCGTTAACGTAAATAGCTTTTTTCGAATATCGTTATATTTTCGCGCAATTCTAATGTGTAGTATGACGCCGCGCCTACTGTCACAGATCGCGCAGTAGGGTATTTTCCTGTCAGGGACACAAGGTGTACTTTTACTTTGTTACGTTGGGCGACGTTCCTCTCGTTACTTTATTTTAATGCAATACGTTGTTAAATGAGTTTATTCCAAGCGCGCTGTGTCCTTTGTATGGGCATGAGCGACGCTCATTTACAAATGAATCACTCTTTGAATCGATTCTGTTCAAAGACTTCATCAAACAAGTTGTCAGATGATCTGTCTAAATCGGTTCGCGAATCAGTTGATCTGTTCAGTTCCTCGCGCACTGAATCGTCTGAAGCGCTTTCAATTCACACTCGGAGTCGAAACAGGAAGATTTAAGAGCATCAAGAGCGTTGGATGAAGTGGCCGATCTACAGTCTAGTCTAGTGAATGCAAATCTGCAAATGCATCATATTTTTGCCAGCGATGAAGATCTTTATTAGTTGAACATCTTCGTAAGCTGTCTGTGAATGAATGATTCCACAGGACGATACATTCGATTTCATTTCATTCAGGTAATGCATGTGTGTGTATTGCGCGTGTATTGCGCAGTGGCATAATCACACGAATAGTTTACATTGATTGAAACTAATTTGTTTAAAAATGAGGCTATTGCAGTAACAAGGCAGGTTCACATAAAATTCTTATGACATATGATGACATTATTTTTTGATCTAACGAGCATTGGCGATGCAAAAACGGACTGTCGTGCGTATTGTTTTTCTTCTTCTTCCAATTAGCCTACTATGTTAAAAAAAAAGGACGAAAACATGTTACTTGTTCATTTAATAAACAGTTTGTTTGATGACAAATCGCTAAAGATGAAATTGGCCTCCCTTTCTGTCATTGCAGGTTTTTTTGGGGTTTTTTTTTTTTTTACGATATTCGACTTTTGCTCCTCGATTGTCGAATGGCATTTTTGGCAGAAATGCACATCCCTACGCGAGGCAAACTATTCTCAAAGACTTACTTTTAGTCATTATTTGGGTAGCACACATTTTCTGAATGCCTTCGGGAGAATTCAAATGAGCCATTTTAATCTAGATTAATCTAGATTAATTTCAATATTAATCTAGATTAATCTAGATTAAAAAAAATTAATCTATGCCCACCTCTAATATTACTCTTATAAAAATCAATAATCAAATATATGCATTATCACATAATCATCATCACATCCCTAACAACATGAACAGTATTAAATGAGTGTGTTGTTAACTATTGGTAACATTTGAGAAAAGCTTTATTACCTAAAACAGCAGCCCAAAACAACACATTCAATATAAAGTCAATTGGTTACATTCAACTCAACGTTACAATCACATTAGTTAGCATTATTTTCTTTGTCGGTGTGGCCGAGGTGATGTCAGTCAAAAAAGGAAAGTTATTACATTTTGATCACAGATTACAAAAACATTTTTTTCCTCAGGAATAATGTGCACAGGAAAAAAGGGGAAATTTGGATTGCATGTGGACTATACGTTTAAAGGTTAAGTGTGTAATTTCTGGTCAACTTGCATCACCAGACAGAACTGCTAAAACAATGACTGTTTTCAAACACTCCCCTTGTCTCCACCAATAGCTTGAGTTTGAAATGAAGCGGTTTGAGTCAGTGTCGCCGTTTAGGGTTGTTAAATGCTCAGACAAACAGAACATTGAAGAGTCACACAGGGTTTTGCATTGTAATCAACAAATGGCTTATAGTTGTCTCTGCATATTAAAGTTGTCTCTGCATGTTAAAGTCCATGCGAATCAGCTTGATAAGATCGTTTTTTCCTCGAAGTGTTGACATATCCAATTTAAACATGAAGAGCACATGCCTTTTTTTAAAAAGAAAAAAGCCAGTAGCATTTATCATACATTTAAAATTCCAAGGTTTTCTAAGCGATTAAGATGTTTGACGTTGTTCATAGAATATTGTGTGAATTTAAAACCTAGTCCACTTCAATACTGTGCATTATGGGTACCATACAGCAATAATATGCAAGATGGCTGACTTAAAAACTTGTACTAAGTTATCAGTAGTGGTCTCAGTAATATTGATGATATCAAGTAAATACTACACTGCTAGATTATTAATGCAACAACAGTTTAAAAAGAAGACTGTTCCAAATAAATTAGTCAATTTTGTGCATTGCCATTTGAGTTGTGTGAGATGAAGAGTGAATGATGGAGGGTTATTTAATGCTTTCTATGAGATTCATCAGACATATACACAACATAAATGTAAAATTATTATAAATTAAATTGAATTGTATCTATGCAAAATGACGCAAAGTGAATTTAAGGGCCCGTTTACACCTGGTCACGTGCGATTTTACAAATGAAATCTGATTTATCAAAATGATTCCATTTACACTTAAATGTGTTTTTACAAAACCAGGGTTGCTGCACATTTTTTAGTCAAATTTAAGGCTTTTTAAGACCGTACAGTTCGAAAATATCGATCTGAGAAACCGCATGAAGTGACCAAAATTCCATTTCAATATTGTTCTCATAACCATGTTATGCACAGGGCTTGACATTAACTTTTTGAGGCACTTGTCCTTCGGACAAGTAAATTTATGTTTCTCTTGTCCATGCACAAAAGTCACTTGCCGGGTAAAGATTTATAATTTTATCTAGGGCTGCACGATTTGGGGAAAATGTCATATTGCGATTATTGAGTTCAATATTGCGGTTGTGATATGCGATTGCGATATAATAAACAAATGGTTTCATGAGTCAACTTGTTTGGTTCTAAACTAAATGCACACACAGATTAGTGATAATTCTGAAATTAGCAATAACAACTAAATGATTGATAACACCTATAATGATCAATAAGCCATTGATGTCTGGATAAAAATTAACTGTCTAACAGGTAGGACATATACAGAAATTGAATAAAGTTATCAAACAGTCTGGGCTGCATAAATTATAAATTATATATAGACTACTACTTATTGAAGCTACACAAGTTCTTTAGTCAAGAGCAGTGAGTAATTTTCTCTGTTCCCTTTGTTCTTTCAGTAACTTTACTGACAGAACGCTTTATTGGTAGCTGGCCCTTTAAGAGCAGCCGCTGTGGACAGAGACGCGGATATCACACGCGCCTCATTCTCTCACGAGTCACAACTCTTTATGTCCATCATAAGACTGTTCTTATGTTATGAAGATACTCGACAAATTACATTTTGGCTTAATTGTGTGTGTTGTTGATGTTCGTTCAAGCGCGAAAGAGAACTTCTGGCGTGCGGTCTGTGCATGCGCATTATACTGGCGCGCGTCTTTCTGTGAGTCACATTCAGGACATTCACAGGCAGTGCGAAAAAATGTGTTCGTTTCAAATCGGTAAAATTAAATCTGTAAAATAGACCTAACGAGTGGCACATAACGTGAAGTAACATGGCATTTTATTTTGTTTGAAATTTAACTTGTCCGGTCGAACAACTAATTTTCTCTTCTACTTGTCCTACAAAAAATCCTTAATGTCGAGCCCTGTATTCATATGAAAGATTGGCAGTGCACTTAACGATTTTAGTCATTAAAGTGATTACAGACATTCAAAGTCATAGTTTCACTTTAATCACCGGTCTGGACGGCATGCTGTCAGACCATAGGATATCGCTCCAAACCAATCAGAAAAGCATATGATCGTGTCAATCACAAACAAGACAGACGGGAAACGTGTTGAAACTTTATTCATTCATCACTCTTACCTTCTGCGTTTCCAGCGGGAGGGTTTGAGCCCGACACCCCCCCACTCCCCCCAGCCTGGCAGGGTCAGGTCCACCACTTTGGGCCTCGCTGCAGCTTCCTGTTTCCTTTTGTCTTTCATGAAATCAGAAATGACATCATCCCCAGCAAAAGCCTCCTTGATGATAGAAATCTGTTCATCATGCTCCTAACAAGAAAGCGAAACCATTTTAAACAAGAAAAAGCAGCATTTGATGTTTCTTGCAACAACTCAAACTAAATGTCAAATTTAACGGAGATAGACCTCAGTCACGGTTGATGATTCAATGATGTACAGAATATTAGGTCTATGTTCACAACCCGTGCTTGAGTATTTTTGTCCACGAGAACACATTATACATCTATATCTGACAGTCTTGCTTTCATGCTGGTCAAATAAAATGTGTTGTCTACCCTCAAGATCTATTGGTTACATACACACCACCCCCGCAGGTGAAGCCATTCAACTCACATCTTCAACCACTGTTGGCAAAAAGGGAACTTTGATGACTTTGGCTTCTTTGGTAAGCACTTCACGGAGGTTGATTTCCATGTTCTTTTTATTAGTTGGCGCTGAAGGTGCCTCTGCAACAGCTGTTTGAGGCCGAGATGGAGCCACAGTGGGTTGGGGCTCGAAAACCTCACCCAAAACCTCCAGATCTTCAATATTCTGGACTCGAATCGGTCCTTCATCCAAAAGTCCCTCTCCATCTTCTTGCCCTTCCTGTGACTTCTCACTCCTCATAAGCTTGAAAAGGGTGTTAAACTCAGAAACATCCACCTCCTCCTCTTCCACCTCCTCCTCCTCCTCTTCTTTATCATCATTCTCCTCATTGTCAGGAATCTCCACCACATCTTCGCCAACCACCTCGCTTGCATGTTCTGCTAAAAGAATACAAGACAAATAGAATGAAAATCATCACATACACTGCCAGTTAAAACTCAAGTTCAAGTAGGTCAAGTCTATTAAATCACCTGAAATGTTACAAAAGTAAGAAGTAAGCTGCCAAGAAGTTAAAGGAACAAGGCATTTTTCAATGAACAAGTAATGGATCAAAGAGTTAATTCACCCCAAAATGAGAATTGAAAGCATTTCATTCATCTTCAAAACACAGATGAATATATTATCAAACAGCACCTACTCCTTTTAGTCCATTAGAAATTTTCAAGCTTTTGTTTCCCGAAGTAACTGCTTTTATTTCTACTTTTCTACAAGTGCCACCAACTTTCAGAGTGAATTTCATTCAGACCGTCTGCCATTTTTTACTTATTGGTAACATGCAAAAATAGGACAACATTTGTATGCTGAACACTCTGCATTAACATTTCGATGAAAACCTGTACGACTTTCTTCCGTGGAACACAAAAGCAGATATTGTGCAGAATATTTAATCTGCTCTTTTCCAAGTGGAGTCTGACTAACAGCTGTCATGCGGTCCAAATGCACTGTACAAGTCTTCTGAAGACATTCAATAGTTTTGAGTCAAAAACAGACAGTTTCAGTCTACTTTTGATGTTTGGACTTTATCCGCACGTCAAGTCTGATGTCATGCATCACCGTTTCTAGGGCTGTGTCCGAAATCGCACTATTTTAGGGCACAGCCATTTACAAAATGTGGTCAAATGTGGAGAGTAGCGTGTCAAATGTATTCACGCATCTGTCCAGAAGATGGCGCCCGCAGCTGAATCATCCACTCGTTAGTTTTCATTCAATCCTTTAAAGCTCCTGTAGGTAACTTTTGAAAACATGTATTTGCTAAAACTGTCATTATGTCCTGACAGTAGAATATGAGACAGATAATCTGTGTAAAAATCAAGCTCTTCTGGCTCCTCCTAGTGGTCCTATGGCCATTTGCAGAAATACACACTCCCGGTCAGAAACAACCAATCAGAGCCAGGAGGAATGTCTTAGGAGTGTCAATCACGCTCGTGTACGCGCTGATCACACCCCTCTCTTGCACAGCGCGAGCCGTCGTTCAAACTCAAGATTGCCGGCGTGCTGCAGCTGTGCTTATGACGGAGAAACAACCTAAACTGCCAATTCTCGAGTGACACCTGCTCATAAAACAAAGAGGTAAAAGGAAAAAGACCGATGACGATGAACAAGCGAAAAAGAAAGAATTACACAGAGCCCATTGACTCGGTGTCAAAACTCCAACCGCATAACATGTAGATAAAATGTCACGCACTCTGCTAAGCAACAATTGAAACCTGCTAATTCACTGGCTTGTCATGTTGCTGAAATAATGTACTAGCACACCTTATCTAGCATTATATATCGCTAGAATAATTACTTACATACTGTAACGTTAGTTACCGTTATCTTAACGTTATCTTACTAGCTATTTATAACTTATAGAAAGAGTGCAACGTTATAAAGTTACATGTAGGCTATTGCAAAATACATCATGATTTGAGGACCAAGTTTGTAGTCAAAGTATGGGCAGGCCATAGTCAATGTAAAGCATATTATTGACGTTTAGTCCCTATTAGTGAATGTGCCATATAACTTTTTATCCGCCGTCATCGGTGGCCCTGTTTACTAGCCTGCGCGTTCACGACAGGCTCCGCTGTGGAGGACGAGCTGTGGAGGGAGGGCTGTAGCGCAGCAGAGAGCAAGGGGGTGGGACCTGTAAGTTGTGCTTGTTCAAATTTTCAGGCTAAGTCAACGTTTTCTCAAAACTCCCTACTGCAGCTTTAAGTGCACTGTATTACTGGAGTAATGAAGGTAATAGTGAATGAGGGTGTAGAGGGCGATTTAGAACACGACCTGGGTCTAAAACCATATGCCAAAAGCAAACCATGCTGTAACACTACAGAAAAATCATGATCCTAAACTTTATCTCTATACAAAAATCTTACTTGGCCAGACAGTCAATTCAATATTGGTGTTCGGGACACCGTGAGCCCAGAGACCGTATACTGTGATTTTTTACAAGCTTAGCTTAAATGTTTGACAAGAATAAGCAGTGCTCATATAAAGATGTTGAACTTGGTAACAAGCGTTCCTTGCTTGACAAGCAGATAGAAATCATATAGTTGGAGAAGAAGTAAACAATGACAGATTTGTAATTTGTGTGTAAACTATTTTCTTGTCTCATACCCTTTTCTTCCGCAGGAGTCGAGCCCTCTTCATCAATTTGCCTCAGCCTCCTCTTCCTCTCAAATTCTCCAAGAAGTTCCTCTTCCTCGTGTTCCTCTACTGGGGTTTCAGCCTCCTCGGGTGTGACGCACCTGACCTCAGGCTGTTCACGTGTAAGTTGGCCTTTCATCCAGGGATTGACCGAGTCAATGATCGGCTCAGGATCGTTCACAAAATCAGGAACGGTCTCCAATTCTTCGTCCTTACTTTCATCTTCATCATCAGAAAGCACCACCATCTTCTGTGTAAGATCCTTATTCATCTGCAACTGCTCCTGCATTGCTTTACGTGCCTGATGGGAGATACACAAACATCACGATTGCGTTTTAGTAATGACATTAAATATTACTCATGATTTCCATCCCTTGATAATCAGTCTCATTCCGGTATAAAAATAATAACTTACCGAATCATCATATTTTGCCATGATGGCCTTTGATTTGGCCCACTTGCCTTTGTTCTGATGTTTGAGAGACATTCTCTCCTGTAGTGAAAACATGTAAGGAAAATATATTTTAACCCAAATGATTCTCACTTATTCATTATCTCCTTCCATGTTTCACCACACACCTTCATCCTGGACAGTTCCATCTTTTTGAGCTCATCCAAAGCACCTTCAGCATCTCTCTTACACATTTCTTCAAACTGCTTCAGAAACTCCTTGCGTTTGGCTTTCTTCTGAACCCTGTGATACCTGAGAAAGATATATTTTTTAGTTAAATTGACAGACAAACAAAAAAAAAAATGGTCAGAAACGTTCAGCTGTAGAACTCACTTTTTACTCTTGATTTTCTTTTCTCTTTTGGCTTTTGCCTCATAGTATGACTGGAGCGCTCTTGCCTTTTGAAGCTCAGCACGACGAATCTTCGCCTGCCAGGCAAAACACATTGTCACAGTAAAATATAAAAAGAATATTGAGTATGAGAGCAGAACTAAAAACAAAGACAGAATAGTTAATGTTCTGCTTGATCAGCAAAGCATCAATTTGGATCCATATGTATACAGTGCAACGGGAGAAATGTGGCAACTGTATCCTGCCCTAAATGTGGATTCTACCTAACCAGATTTTATTTATAACTGCCACGTACTAAAGGGCTTCCTTATAGAAATGGACACCCATCAATGGAGCCATGCTAGCTCAAGTACATGCCGTCATTAAAGCAAAAGCGGCACGATTAACCATTAAAAGACCGCAATCTCGATTCAAACCCCTACGTCTGTTTCACATCTCAAGCGTCAGCAGAGCGTGAGCAACATGTGTTTTGTCGCTGCCCATGGTAATGCATGAGAGGGTTGGCCGTCACGCTTCCGATGTGAACGCTTTCATTCATTGATATGGGCAGCGACAAAACACGTGCTGTTCATGCTTGAGATGTGGCAGCCCTTCATACTAAAGCTTCTTGTTCCTTATGTTATATCCATTAAATACATAGAATCTAACAATGTCATCTCTATTCCAGTGCTTCAGTGTGATCAGTGCTGCTTATTCTTAAAGCTGCAGTCCGTAGCTTTTTTTAGGTTAAGAATTATCCAAAATACATATTTGATAAAATACATAACCAACCAGTGTTCAACGCTATCTATTTGCCGTAGCTCGATTCAAAGCGGTAAGCTTGTAATAATGTTTTTAACTCCAGTGGTACTGGTGGATTTCTGCGGGAGATTCGAGCATGTATTTGCATCATCACGTCACATCTGTACACATAAAGGAGTCTCGGCTAGTCGGCTATGAGTGTGAGGATGTTGGAGGTGAAGATTTATAGCCTTTTCTCACAGCACTAGATATAATTAAACTTGATTAATTTGATGGCAGATCCAGAAAGGTTTCTTTTTAAGACCTTTTTAATACCATTTCAAATGAAATTCAATGCCAACTTCGTACCCATTCCGACAGAAGTATGAGGGGAAAATGTCAAATCTGTATACATTTTAAAACCTAGAAAATAATTATGTACAAGGAGGCTACTTGACTGATAATTTAAGTAAAATGTTTTATTTGATTCATTTAATACATACGCAACAGCATTGTAGCGCGCACGTGTATGTAGGCCAGTGTAATTTTGGCAGCCATTTTTTATTTAGTCTTAAGACGAAAATGTTTATTGGTCTTAATCACATTTGAGTCATCCAGTTTTTTTATAGTTGTAGTTGACGAAAAGTCTTTGCATTTTTTGTCAACTTTTAGTCAAACTGGAGTTACTTTACTTTTGGTAGTTATTTTATATGTAGTCTTTAGACAGAAAATGTCATAATAATTATTCTCTCTAGGCCAATTCAATTAGACTTATGAGAAATTATTGACATTGCACTCTTTAGCAGTAGCACTTGTGCAGTTCTACATAATTATCCCTTTTTTACCTTTGTAATACCTTAAAAAAAGAAAGAAAGAATGCTTTCAATAAAACAATGTTCATTAAATTTGCCAGTAGGTGGCGGTAACTCCCTATTCTTTATGAGTGAGTCTTTGAGTCATTCATTAATTGGATCTCACGATTCGTTCAAAGCCACATATTTCGTTGCAAAACAGAGCAAGCCTGACAATGCTGTTTTAAATGTAGTACATCACTTAATTTTACCCTTTTTTCTTTTCTTTTTTACTGTTGTATAAAATCAATGTCACATTTGAAATCGTGTGGATATTCGGGAAACATTGCATTCTTGCTCGTATGAACACTGGTGGATATATCAGCCTGCATTTTGATCGCAGATTTAGTCGCACAAACGGCTCGTGACAGAACACAGACCGACTGAATGACACTTTAATTTAAGTAGAACATCTTAAATAAAGATCGCTGAATGCCAACTGTTGCCAACCAGCTTGTCTGTGTTTTCAGATAATCCGCGCTTCAGCAGTGTAGAGAGAGAGCGCACGCATGGTTGCCAGATACTATTGAAAAGACCGGGTAGAAAATATGTTCTTTTAACAGAAAAGCTCTTATTTGGGGTTTAAATTCTGTCATTTGTGGCCACAGCGGATTAAACTAGGCTAGGTACTATCTTGTTCTGTACCTCACTTGCCTAGTAACCATAGTAACGGGTGCGCACGCGATCGCTTTTTCTGCTATGACGTGGAGCGCGAGGTGCACAACCAAAATTGTCTCTGACTCAACGCTGCATACTTTTTGAATTAGCCTACATTAGTAACAGTTAATTTAGTTACGGTATGAACTTAATCCTAGCAAAGGCAAAAACATAAATAAGACCTTTGTAACGAAATCCAAGACTTGGTATACAAACTTCAAGGCTTTTAAAGGGATACTCCACCGTTTTTTCATATTAAACTATGTTATTCTCTTATCTAAGACGAGTTGATACATACCTCTCTCGTCTCAGTGCGTGCACTGAATCGCTCTGTCGGGCGGAGAACTTTGAGAGCAGTTAGCTTAGCCCCATTCATTGTATATGGGCCAAACAGAGATGAAGTTAGAAGCGACCAAACACATCCACGGTTTCTCTATTTAAATATAGTTACACGACCAAGTATGGTGACACTAAATAAAATGTGGCGCTTTTTATAAGCGGGTAAAATGGATAATTATAATGTATGGCGGAATAGCACTTATTGGGAGCACTTCGACTCGGCGCTGTAATATCTTCACTCGTGAAAAGTCCTCTGCCTCTCCCTGTCATTTCCGTCAACTCTGCACAAAAAACTACTACTACTGCAGGCGTGCAGGTCACGTTGGTTCTATTGACGGAAATGACAGGGAGAGGGAGAGGGGGGAGAGGACTTTTCACGAGTGAAGATATTACAGCGCCGAGTCGAAGTGCTCCCAATAAGTGCTATTCCGCCATACATTATAGTTATCCATTTTACCCACTTATAAAAAGCGCCACATTTTATTTAGTGTCACCATACTTGGTCGTGTAACTACTCGTGTAACTATATTTAAATAGAGAAAACGTGGATGTGTTTGGCCCATATACAATGAATGGGGCTAAGCTAACTGCTCTCAAAGTTCTCCGCCCGACAGAGCGATTCAGTGCACGCACTGAGACGAGAGAGGTATGTATCAACTCGTCTTAGATAAGAGAATAACATAGTTTAATATGAAAAAACGGTGGAGTATCCCTTTAAGGCCTTAATTTGAGATGATCAAATTCAAGACTTTTTCAAGGCTTTTAAGACCCGCGGGTACCCTGTAAATAGCCTAAATTAAACGCACTTCAGCAAACCTGACCTTATCTGATAGGCTACTGTACAATATTTCCATTGTAGCCTAATAGAAAACGCATTTTGGCACATAATTTCAACATGCTGCTATTGTATGGGGCGCCGTTTGTAAAGTGGCTCACGCTGAAAATAAAAGCAACATTTAGCTTCAAACAATGTTTAAAAGGGGTCATATAATGGTACATGCACTTTTACAAGTTGATTGTACTGAAATGTGTGTTGGCAGTGCCTGTACACAACCATCATATAATGATAAAAATCCATCCAGTGGTTTTGTTTTAATCTCCTTATATGTTTTCCCCTGCCTCAAATTGAGCCGTTCGTTTTTGTGACGTCAATAAAACGGAAGCCCCTCCCGCGATTGTTGATTGACAGCTTGTGATTCAACACAGACCCGCCCTCGCTCGTCCTGTCAATCATAGTCTGCGCGGACCGGCGCGGTCATTGTTGATATGCTGGAGCACTGTCTATGAGCAGAATGGCGTCTAAGCGATTGTGGTGTTCTGTTCTTGGGTGTAATAACGAACACAGTCACCGAACCGCTGAAGACGCAGTGGCTGAGTTTGTTTTCGAAGGGAATATTCCCCACGAGCAACGCTCTCATGTTTTGCTGAGAAGCTGCACCTGAATAAAGGATCGGAACCTATTCGTCTTCCTGCTGAACCTTCAGAAGAACTAAAGTGAGTGTAACGTTTTATTAATCTTTATATTAATATTTATATAATCTTTGCAAATCGCCAGCTGCACGCTTCACGATGAATGCGTCGGTTTACACTCAGGGTACATTACGGCATGTTTTCTATGTACAACGTTCTCAATATAATTCATAATCCCACGTTTATAATGAACAACGCGTGGTTATTGTGTTACAAACGGTGTATGCGCAGAACAGAGAGGCGGGGTGAGCAAAACTCATTATCATTTAAAGTCATATGCACTGAAACGGCGTGCTGAAAACAGAGCTGTTTTTGACCAGGTAAAATAAGTGTTTTCTTACAATACTAATGAGAATTTTTAATTAAAGTATATTACAAACTTTTAATTTAGACCCTAAAGAATCATATTAGCTTGTACAAAAATGGCATTATATGACCCCTTTAAAAAACTGGTATCACATCACACACTTGTGATGCACCATATTAGACGTAGGCCTACCCGTCTTGTGGCTGTCATGAACATAATCTGCTTCGCAGGTTTTGCAAATTACATAGCTTGCAGCACTGGTGTCTAGGGGTGTGCCGGTTTCAGAATTGGTGATGACGATTATGACGTGAGTCAAATGTGACGGTTCGTAACATAACCGTCGTCGGGGGGGGGTTGTTGAATAACTGTTCGTCTGTTATAGGACAACTTAGTTTGAATAAACAAGCAGACACTGATTAGCTACTGGCTCTACGTTTATTTAACATGAACAGCAAGACAACTAAAAGTGAATTTGCTTTCCATTAAATGTATCGCACAGTAAACAAATCCTTAACTTACAAAACAAACAAACGTTTGCAATGAACGTGCTTTTTTTTAATAAATCACACACAGTAAACAAAACCTTAACGAAAAAACGTTGGAATGAACTTTGCAATTTAGACGCGCAAACTGCGTGCCGGTGCAGTGAGACGTGCATGCTCGGGCAGATTCGGCTTGAAGTCGGTCATCCTCGGACGCGCTGTTACAAAAAAAAGCCGTGCACACAGCCAAGCCAAATGGGGTCTTGCCGGTCTTGCGCACCGAACGCGTCATTTTTGCCGCGCGCACCTTCGCGTCGAGTATAAACAAGGCTTTACTCCGTGTCAGCGCGCGCTCTGATCGGTAAAGGTGCACAGACCTCTCCCGAATCATCTCCAGCAGTAGCAGCCTCCGTTTCCCTCTTAAGTTGATATTAGTATTTAAACATTCACTATGATAAAAAATGTTTGTAAACAATATTTTAATAGCACGGTTTTGGCGGTTATAGAGTTCTAATGACGGTGTTCAACTATAACCGTCGGTCTCACGGTTATATAATAACCGTCACACCCCTACTGGTGTCATACTGATTTACCACTTTGTAAAACTTATTCCAGGCAACACTTTTCTGACCTTCTATTTCCTTTGTTTTTAAGTCTCCTTTTTTGAGTTTGTCACGCACCTCCTTAACCGGCGTTGCCATCTCTGATAATAACAAGCAGTCTCATAGACTCGACTAGCTGCCTGATGAAAATTTGACTATTTCAAAGTGTGCTCGATTTTTTTTTGGATGTAGTTATAGTCAGATAACAATAATTAACAATGTATACATATATTTTTCATTTGATTGGTTCAACCGCCCGCCACCCGCCCGAATTGAATAAAAATATTTTTCTTCGTCACGTCATCCGCCCGATCCGCGGTTTATCCGCGGCTGTAACCGCCAACCGCGCATCTCTAATCGGAAGGACATTACATGTAGTCTCGCAATGCTGAGTTGAGAACAAAGTATAATTCGCACGGTTTTGCGTGATAAGCGATTTTTAGATTTAATCAGTGCGATTTACTGCAATGTCAGAACCAGAACAAAAGTGGATGTTACTTGTTCAGATGACATTTTCCGGTGAAAATTATTATGTTGGTCATACTTCCAAAAAGAATAATCTGTGATTCTGAATGCCAGTACCGACACCGGCGCGGTGATTGACAGCTGCACACTCTCCTCAATGTGTTCATCCGCGCTGTGCATGTCGAACTACAACTCACCTAAAGTTGATAATTCCGCGAATGACTGCAATTGCAGATTTCGAACAGAGATGGCGACAAAGAGGAAAAAATGCAGACTGCAGCTTTAATATCTGTACGGAAGCTGTGGATTACTGTGCTTGTACATTTTCTTTGTCATTTTCCCACTTGTACACATTCTGTTCGGACTGTGTGGTAAAAAGCACACATGCAGATCCATGCCATTGTGTTTGTGCACCCTGAGCACTGGTAGTAGTCTTAGTAGTTGCAATAGTAACTCATGTGATGTCAACATGCCCTTATCAAAGTCATACCTCCTCCAAGCTCATGGCTTTAAGCGATGCCTCCTCGACGGGAGTCAAAACAGGGTCAACCACTGGCTGGCTGTTGTTGTGCAAGAGTCTGAAAATCTCTTGTTCAAGAGGAGTTTGAACCTGTCACAGAGAACACACAGAGTTATTATTAAAATAAAAGCAAGTGCTTCTATCAAACATACGTTTTAGTTACATCTGATCAGCGTGCAGAGAGAAACAATTACATTGAAGAAGCATTTGCAATGATGATAACACTAAAAATGAATTTTCTGTAAAGCGGCTTTGAAACGAGGTATTGTGAAAGACACAATACAAATAAAATGTGTGAATTGTATTGAAGATAATAGTAATTATCTGTATCACTGAATTACAGTACAGTTGGATGAAAAAAAAAGTGATTTAGACAAAACAAAGACGAGAAAATGTGAAAAATGGCCATTAGTTTTTGAATGTCATGTTATTAATGTGACTGAACTGTTACTTAAAGGTGCAGAGTGATGTTTAGCGGCATCTAGTGGTGAGGTTGCAAATTGCAACCAACAGAAGTTACGGAGGCCGGAGGCCGTCAGGGAAAGATGTCGTCGTCTGAGACGGCAGAGAGTAGCAGTTTAGCAATGAGGTTTCTTTACAAAGATAAATTAAGAAATTAGGTTTACTTAATTATTCAGTAAAACAATGTTATTGTGAATATTATTGTTACTTGTTCATCATTGTGTCAGTGTTTTATTCGCTGACTTTAGCTTGCTTCTTTGCACGAAGAACAACATATAGTGAGCAATGCTTTGTCCGTTTAGGGCCACCGTAGAAACATGTCGGTATGTAAGGGGACCCGCGGTGTGTGTAGATGGAAACGGCTCATTCTAAGGTAATAAAAACATTACGGTTCATTTTGTAAGGTCTTTATACACCACTGAAAACATAGTTATGTATATTATATTGCATTTCTGTCGACAGATCCTCCTAGATATTACACAATGCACATTTAAGGCCCCCGAAATACTGTACTGTATAATTTACATTTTTCTTCTATCACCAAATCCCTCTTTGCTCGCAAAATGATAAGACAAAGATTTTCATTTCCCGCAATAGTAAATTAATGAAAAAATAAGTGATTTATCCACAGGCCCTGCTCCTAATAATAAAATGCAACCCACTTGTAGATATGTAAGATATATGTACACACTAGGGGTGGAGCCGAACCCGAATACGGTATTCGGAAAGGCACAAATAACGTGTTTTTTACGAATACTTATTTCGAACAAATACTTTAAAAATATTTGTATTCGGGAACAAGAAAAACTTTATATCAAAAAGCTGCGTTTCCTCGTGAGACCGCACTGCAGTGCATGCCCGTTAGAGTGAGTGTGTGACGTTCAGGAAGAGGTGACTGACACAGGCTGCTCCACACAGCAACAACAGCTCGGCTGAGCGAAAAACACTTAACTGCATCACTATTTTTGTTGAATAGATTTTTGTACCTTAACTGGGTTCCGGAGGCAGTTTATAACTTTCGGGAAGCGAACTTGACGCGGCGCGGGACTAGATCTGATGGCCGAGCGCGGGCGGTAATGCACTCACTCTGTGTGTGCGGGTTGCGGGAGAATAAAACGATTCGCGGGACTCCCGCAAACTAGAAATGTCTATGAATAAAACATATAAAGACTAATAGATTTGTATTCATCTGTTGCAGAAAAGCAACAAGAACAACTAAAACAAAATAGAAACGATTTACAGGCCAGAGTTTCTATTCATAACATGTTTGCAGCGTTGAGCGATGTAGCCAATCACAGACATATGTGTTGATTTCCTGAACGCAATTGGCCAATCAGAAGCATTTAAGATAGACTCCCCTCACCGCTCAAAACGGACTTTTTGTTCAGTGCTGAATTATGCTGGTACATCCTCTAATTATAACAAACAAAGTGTGGATATTATGAAAGATTCATTGATAATAACAGAGATGTGTGAGATCGCGATGAACTGTCTGCTTTTTAGGGATTATTAAGGGAGCGCACTTTGAGCACATTCAGTCATGCCAGCCAGACCACGCAGTAGCTGCTTGCTTTTATGTTAAATTAACAGTGGTTTGTGTGTTAATGCTTTAATAAAAAATAATTTATCATAGGGTAGGGTCAGATTTTGTTTACATCCATTTTATTTATTGTTTTTGGTATTTATTCAAGTGCATTTTTTGTTAACAGAGACTGAGAGTCCATTGCTTTTATTGTTTTTGGTTGTTTTGTTCATTTATTGTGGATATTTAAAATGTTTTCCATTTTCAGTGTTAAATAGTCTTTAGAAATAAAAGTTGTTTGATCTTTGAAAAGGTGTAGGCCTACCTGCATTATTATGCCATTATCATTATTTTAGATGTAAATGGTCTCAGAACAACAATATTCTTTCTTGGTCCTCCACCAGCCAAAAAAACTTGCTCAAGTTCTGTGTGGAAGCATTTTATTATATCATATTGTTATTATCTTTTCAATGACGTTCCTTGTTACATGTTCATTGCTGGATTTATGGAAAAACATCAACCAATTTTGCATATCCATAATTATTATAATGGATATAATTAAAGAATACTAAGTATTCTTAGTATAAATATATAATGTAAGTCTTACACTATAACGTAAATTAGAAGTCTAACGCAAAAAAAAAGTATTTTTACGCCTATTTGGAATTTTACTCGAATACAAATACAAATACAAATACTTTTCCCCCCTCAACAAATACAGATACAAATACCGGCTGCTTTGCACACCCCTAGTACACACATATATATTAGACTTGCCACAATATCATACATTTTCACACTGTTGCGGTCTCCGCATTTAAACCGACTAAACTGGTAATTGCACTGGTTTGTGCTATTATAGCTCTGTCAGCGCAGAAGTTCCAAGCATACTCGACTCATAATAATGATTTCTGACTAGAGTTGAGGCCAAAATTGGGTTGCATGTCTTTTTAGTGTACACATTTATCTGGTGTGTTTGATATTCTTATCTATCTTTTAAACATTCTATATATATTAAATGTTGAATTTTTTCTAAAATGTAAATTCTTGTCTGAAATTGACCCGTCACAGGGAGTTTGATTGACATGCGATCTGACCAATCATAATCCACCATCCGCCATTTTTGTCCGACAACGCAGCGAGAAGAGATAGTAGATTAATGTTGGTGGATTTGAACTTGAAAAACAGTGTACTGACGTCTTTCCACGGTTAAAACAACATTCCTTCTTGTGCTAATTTGATGCTATAAATTAACTAGAAGGAAGAGATGATCGGTTCACGAGCAGCTTTAACTGAGGCTCTACAGCGATCTGGCAGACACATTTAAGAGCCACAAAATGGTATTTATTGTTTAAATATCTTAAAAAAATGACCAAATTTGAAAGTTGAGACTTTGTTTCACATCAAAGGTAAAGTGGGGCCTGTACCATGAAGCCGGTTTAGGTGGCTAGCCCGATATGTTTCAGTTCAGTTTGCACCAACCCTAGGTTTTAGGCACCATGAAAGTGGTTTGGCTTTTAGCAGTGTTCATCGCCATAGTAACTTACGCTCCACGGCTAACCTGGTCCGGGGCAGGTTAAGCTCCAGGTAAGAGATCGCAAACTGAAACTGGACCAATCAGCTGTGAGCAAAGGATAAAGTCACTCCAGCTGTTTCTACTCCTAATTAAAGATCACTACATAGCAAAAGATTTTTAAAGACAAAATCATCTGGCTTTTAGTAAAGCTTATTTAGAATAATAATTTTGTATGATTTAGATATTATGTAATTATTAAATCAATCACACATGTACAATTTTAGTTTATCAATTATTATTACGCACAGTTTAAATAAATAAATATATAAAGGTAATATAAATATGCTTTAGAATCAACAGATAAAGCTATACAATGTCTACAGGTGAGCTTAAATGTTCAATTCTCTCTATAACTTTATCAACTGTATAAACTAACTTCACAACTTTTACTCGCACTGATATAGCAAGACTTTTTCTTTTGGTTGTGTTTCCTAAACTGCTATTTTCTTTTCGCGGTGTAAATTTGTTTAAATTCGTAATATTTTTCAATCTAGTAATATCCTGCAGAAGAGAGAAGTGAATCGCGCTGCTTCTCTCGCGAGAAATGAATCGCAGTTCTCAGCATGTGATTGGCTGTTCGCTACTGATGTCATGCATAAACTACTAAACTCAGGATCAAAGCCTGAGTTGACAGAGAAAGTTGATGATCAGCATCATGGTACCAACAAAGCCTGGTTGGATTGGTTTGGTTTTGTCAACTGGAAACTAATCCTGTAACCCTGAGTTTGTTCATCTAGCATCATGGTACAGGCCCATGGTCTGTCCCGTCTCAGAACATGATGTGTGGCGTGAGAGGGGCGTGGCTTGTCGGACATAGCAACGGTAACTAAAGGGGGCGGGTCTTTGCAAACGGTCAATTGTACAATGTGGTGCATTTTACTGCAACATAGCTTATTAACTTATTACACACAAAAATGTGGTAGAGAGGCTCTCCTGAAAATAAATAATGAATCGTTCAGTGTTACAACATTGGATAATAGCAAACAAAAACAATGACAGCTCAAATTTGTCATGGTTCAGTTTGTGTCATTGTTTTGTTGTTACCATAAATAAACAAACAAACATCCACACCTTCCATCCAGCCACGACCTGCTCCACCCGTTTAGGTCCTAAGGCTTCTTGGTTCAGAGGAAACACCACTTGTTCAGCCTTACGGTTCTGGAATATGATGTTTTTCCAGCAGGACACCTCTTCAGCGGCCTTCTCATATGCTATCCCTCTCTGAATCTGTGGACATGGTAGAGAGAAAACATTCAGCAAATAAAAAAATGTTCAGCCCATGCCAGCTTCTAAGGTTAAAGTCATTCAGTAAACTGGGTAAAACTAGTAGAACGTGAAAGATCTGTGTTTTTTTTTTTTTTTTTTTTTTACATTGTATTTATTGACTTTTGAAACATTTACATAAAAATAAAAAATAAAAAAAAGAGACAACATCTATACTATACAAATGTCAAGACAATGGTACATTAATATCATAACATGGTAAATGTTATTCCTGGTTACACCGAAAATAAACTATTTGGTTCAGCTTCCTTCAAAAATTCTATAAAGGGGTTCCATACTTTGAAAAACTTTCCAGATTTTCCTTTAACAATATATGTGAGTTTCTCCAAAGCCGAAAGATCTGTTTTTAGTAAAAACTCAAACTGAAAGTGGCCTGACGTTGTTAAAACCCTCTTCAAGGGTGTCATCAGAATATAACAGACTAGAAAAATCATATTAAATTGAGTCTTGAGCACCAAGAGGAGTAAATGACTTGGTCCCAGTGATTATTGAAACTAAATGTCACTCAGGGGTGTGATTCCACACAGCAACTATGGGCGCAAGTTCCATCGTTACCAATAGAGTTAAACTGAACTTGCGACCATAGTTGGCGAACGATGCTTTTGGGAAATGCACCCCTGATTTCTACTTGCTTTGACATGAATTTGAGGATTATATGGAGTACACGATTAAAATGACATCCCTGATGATTGCTAATCATTCAAAAACATTCTGATTTAAAAAGAGGTTTTGGACAAGTGACAAGCTTCTCTGTTTATCAGCACGAGTGACTGAACTGAAAACGCAGCGTTTCATGACCTTCTCTGTTTGCTGTTTGTTGAGAGGCAGCTCCAAAGTCTCTTTACTGTTTTGTAGGTTCCTCAGCTGTTTCTTGGTCTTGTTGGAGGTTCCTGAGGTTTTCTCCACGGTCCCCAGGAGGTCAGAAAGGTTGATTTTCTCTCCAGTGCCTTTATACAGAATGAATAAAACCTAAGACTGATGTTCCATCTTGATCAAGATGTGAATAAAGTACGATGCATTCTGCTTTTACCCTCTGCATTGACGGAGAACTCGGAGACCTGGACACTCGCTTCAGAACGCTCATTCTGCTTTTTCCTAGGATAAACAAGAATCAAACTGTTAATAAGAACAATGTACAATAACATAAGTACACAAGCAGGTCAATTCTGACTGCTAAAGTGGAGAATGTGAAGCTGACGTGTTGAATTCTGGGTAACTGTCTTGTTTAGACGCCATATTAGGAGGATCGCGAGGCCTTCCTGCTAGTGAGTTAAATGTAGTGTTTTGATTTTCTTTTGTGATTGCCCAAAATGTTGCGATTGTAAGTCATTCATGCTGCATCGAAAATTGCCACAGTTACTGGCATCAACGTTCAGGACGACTGATTTATTCCAAGAGGTACTTTATCTAGAAAACTGAGTTTAAACGATGCACAATGTGCATTAAAAAAGCAAAAAAAATCCATTACAAGATGGGAGGAAAAAATATATTTCAATGCTTTTGCGTTCTCTCGCAATCATATAGTTGAGTAATTTATATTGTATATAATTTGCAGGTATTAGGGAGCTGCTATCAATATTTGGGGTTTTGAAATCGCTTTTACCTTTCACTTTCCAATTGGCAATCATGCGTCGTCTGTGTATAGTAAGCAGCGGTACTGACCACACATTTTACAAGATTATATTTGATGCTCAGGCACCAAATCCTCCCAGTAATCTCTCCTTACTATCTTCACCTGATAAGTGAAATCTGATGTCTCCGCAGAAAGCCTAACCATGTCCCTTTAGGGGCTCCATAGAATGTGTTATTCTTTTTTACGTGCCTTACCAAATTCGGAATTAGGCCAATTAGAATTATTTACTTATTCCATGTTCCAAGCATTACAATTTTCAGATTTCGGTTCAGTCTGTCCAGAAATTTGTTTTTGTCAGTGAAGCGTCTTCATTTCAAATGGACCAGTATTAAAAAGATAAATCTCAAATGTCTCAAACCTCTTTCTTCCACCCAGGGAACTGATGGCTTCCAGGAGCTTGTTGTGTTTCCTCTCATCATCACTGCCCTCCTGTATAAAAAGAAAGAGAGAAGAATGAAACATTTTGGCTTGATTTGGCACAGGGTTCAAGGGTTGATGAAACCGCTTGCAAAAATACATGACAGTTCCAAAAGAAACTTAAAAAAAATTAAACAAGATCAACCATTCAAATAGAGAAAGATTAGACCTAAAAGGATATATTATTCTCCAGTAGACAACATTAGTATTGCAGCCCCTAAATCAGTAGGGGTTCAATCTTCAGCTGGCTGGCAGGAGCCGCCACTGGCGTGTCACGTGACCCGTCAGTGGCTGGCAGTCTGCCTTTGGCAAGTTTCAGAAACCATTGATTTTTGACAGTTTTTGTGTTCTCTGTTCCTCCCTTTCTAGCTCATTTATTACGCATCTGTTGATATGATTATGTTATTTAGTATGATTGATGTTTTGGGGGACTGTTATCCCAATATAACCAGTCAAATGGCTGTGATCAGACTGGCAGCTTACAGACGCTCATCCAGTCAGTTGCGGCTGATCAGCGAGTATAACGCGTTGCCTGACACTCTCGTTACAAGGTAATTAATTGTTTTCTTATTAAGAATATAATCTCATGCATATTCTTTAGTGTAATTGATGTTTTGGGGACTGTTATCCCAATTAAACCAGTCAAATGAACCATGATCAGACTGGCGGCTTACTGACGCTTTGGTCGACGCTCAAGGAGTCAGCCGTCAACAGATGCATAATAAATGAGCTTTAAGGGAGGAACACAAAACCTGCCAAAAATCAATGGTTTCTGAAACTTGGCAAAGGCAGACTGCCAGAAAACTAGCCAGCCACTGATAGGTCACGTGACATGCCAGTGGCGGCTCCTGCCAGCCAGCTTTAAGCCCCGTACACACCGGGACGAATATCGGCGCGCGTTATTCGTCAGCGCTTTTCAACGGGTTTTTTGTGTTCACACCCAAGCGATTTTCGCTGACGATGAGCCGAGTGAACATGCAAATTCATTCCCTGACATTAGATGGCGCTTAATGTAAAACCGAAATAGTCCTATTTTGTAGTCGCTGTCGCGTTTGTCATATAGTTCTTTATGTTCCGACACCAACGAGACCAGCAGCTCTACATTCATCTTGCCTTGCATCTTCCTCGTCTTATTTCTTCCCGGCAGTGTAGACGCTACTTGGCGTATATCTTCTTCGCCGTTACGTATGTGTGCTCGGCAAGACCGTTTTGTTCTTGAGCGCCCCCAAGTTGTGTTTTACTGTAACTTCAGAAGCTCCAGACACGTGAGCAAAAGTGTCAATCTCATTGGTCGGATAGTTTTTGACGCGGTGCGTCAAACCAAAAAAACGAACCCGAGGCGTTTTTAAAAAAAATGCCGCTTTTACGCGTGGCGTTTTTCGTGTCGGTGTGCACACTCACATAGGCGGCCTTTGTTTAGTCACGAGGCGTTAAACGTCAGCGAATATCGGGTGCGAAATTGGTCCCGGTGTGAACAGGCCATAAGATTGAACTCCCACTCCCCTAAATTGTCACATTGAGACAGCAAAAAAAAAAAAAGTATATATATATATTGGCTGTTAGCCCACTGAGCATCAGAAATTCATGAAATTTGGCACATTTCCTCAAACTTTCCTGTTGTCCAAGTGTGCCAAGTTTTGTGAGGTTTGGACACTGCATTAATAAGATGTAGGCCGATTATCATCAGCCTATATCTCCACAACAATTAAATTAATCAAAATACATTATATGTGTGTATAAAACATATTTAATAAATATAAAAGTTTGTGTGTATATAAACATCATGCAACATTATATATACACATATGCATACATGCATGTGTGTGTATATATATATTATATTATAAGTGAACCTCAAGGAACATTAAAATGATAAATAATAATATAAAATAATGTCTTGTTTAAAACCATTCCTGACTTCAGGAAGAAACCCAAGTCCTACATAGATAAAACAACAACAACAACAAGGGGCAATTTTATCACACAAACTCTTTGTGGCAAAACATAAATAATATGTACATTATGGAAAGTACACTAGTAATAACAGCATGACACGATGATGGCGAGTACCTCATCTTCACTGGCACTGATGGCTTCTTCATCAATGGGAAGCTCCTCTTCATCAATGGGAAGCTCCTCTTTATCATTGGGAAGCTCCTCTTCATCAGCAGCTTTAGTGAAAGTCACCTTCACTCCTTTACTGTGGAGGAATACAAAACAAGACATGCTAGAGGAAAGAGTCGATGCTCATATATGACGGATTTTAAACTGGTGCTGGTTTTAGCCAATGTTTCGTATTAATATGCAAGAAAAAAATACACATTGGATGTCTGAAAAGATACGTAACAAGATAAAGACGTCACGAGCAAACCTTAATGTTGTTTTCTGAAGAGAGCTTGATTTGGCCATGCTGCAGTTTAACCACGTGTCCAGGAGAAGCGTAAAAACTGTGGCTTTCTCTCATGTGTCCTCGACCTGATTTGGAGAATCAGAGATTTCGAAAGTCAATATGTCTCTTAACTCTGAAAGACCAACATGTTACATATATATATGTAATTCTAAAAGACACGGTTTCACGACGCACGTCTCCAGCATCTGATTCTAGCGTTTTCTACCGTGTGTAAACCAGCAGAAGTGCACAGCGCCCCCTCCTGTGCTGGAGTGCAGGATTCAGCGCTCTCTGGACTGACACCAACTGGACTGGAGTCTGGAACATCAAGAACGACGAGGAATAATATCTTAAAGAGATAGTTCACCTAGAAATGAAAATTCTGTCATCATATACTCACCCTCATATTGTTCCAAACCTGTATGAGTTTCTATCTTCTGTTGAGCACAAAATAAGATATTTGAAAGAATGTTGGTAACCAGATAGGTGGCCGCATCCATGGAATTCCATAGTATTTCTTTTAGTGCTGGGCGTTGATTAATCACATGCAAAATAAAAGTTTGTGTTTACATGATATATGTGTGTGCACTGTGTATAATTATTTTGCATATATAAATACACACACATGCATGTTTATATTTTTAGAAAAATGTGTTATTTATATATAACTTATTTATATTTATATGTTTATATATTTATATGAACAAAAACTTTTATTTTGGATGTGATTAAGCGTTGCCCAGCGGTATTTCCGTGTGTTCGACTTGAACTGTTGGTGCACAGACTGATCGGTGTTTGACATCAAAGTAGGCTACAGCGAGAGAGATTAGAGAGACCAGGGGCCTGTACCATGGTGCTAGATCAGTGTTTCTCAACCTCTCCTGCAGGGACCCCCTGACAGGCCATGTTTTTGTTTTAACTCTGAAATGGCACACCTGATTCAAGTAATTAAAGGCTTAATGAGTAATTAGAGTAGGAATAGTTCAATTAATCAATTAGTCAACTACTCATTAAGCCTTTAATGACTTGAATCAGGTGTGCCATTTCAGGGTTAAAACAGAAACATGGCCTGTCAGGGGGTCCCTGCAGGAGAGGTTGAGAAACACTGTGCTAGATGAACAAACGAATCAGTTACCTAACGTAACCTCGGTTCTCTCTAGAAGAGGGAACGAGTATTGCGTAAGCTTGCTTACGCTGCGGGAAAGATTCATCTTTGCTGAGAGTTTGAAGCCAAAAAATTATTTCATAATTTGTATCCATTGACAACGCAGTTCCTCTGCGGCAGACCTAGAGCAGGCTAGCTAGCAGCTCATTGGTTCGCTCAGAGAGAACTGCTTAAGCCTATGGGAGAGCGGGGCTGAACCCGCTTCCAATGAGAGGCGCCCGCGCGCTCATTGCGTCATGGCCTGCCAGAATGGGCGTGGCTATGGTGTATATAACAGTCTCTCCCAGGCTTATATGTTGATTTATTTCAGCGTGAAGCGAAACGCTAGTAGCGCAAGCACGGCCGGGAACGCAATACTCGTTCCCTCTTCTAGAGAGAACCGAGGTTACGTTAGGTAACCGATTCGTTCTCTTACGAGAGGTTCTCTCGTATTGCGTAAGCTAGCTTACGCTGCGGGAACACCTGGTCAACGCCGTGCGCGCTATGAATCCACTCATGAATCCCAGGGTGATACCGGGGGATTTTTAACGTGGAGTGAATGTATTATGAGGCCGGCAAAGCGGGCACATGAAGTGTATACATAAGCATGTATGAGGCCGGCAGAGCGGGCACATGAAGTGTATAAGCATTTAAGGAGAGCACAAGGGGCGAACCGGTTGTGTGAGGGACTCCCAGTAATGCAGCTTCTTAGGGAGCTGGTCGTTAGACAGCTAGTAATTTTGCCTGCAAGGCGGGAACTTCCAAGTTGTAAAATCTGACAAAAGTGGACGGGGAGGCCCATCCCGCGGCCACACAAATGTCATGAATGGAAATTCCACAGGACCATGCCCACGATGAGGCCATGCCTCTAGTGGAGTGCGCCCTGATGCCCAGAGGGCAGGGCAGGCATTTAGATGCGTAAGCAGAGGCGATAGCGTCTACTATCCATCTAGACAGTGTCTGTTTAGAGGCGGCCAGACCTTTGGTGCGCCCCCCAAACGACACGAAAAGCTGCTCAGCGCGTCTGAACGCGGCAGCGCGCGTAGTGTACAATCTCAGAGCCCGCACCGGGCAGAGGAGATTGGCGTCGCGCTCACTATCGGATGAAGGCAGAGCCGATAGGGAAATAATCTGAGCCCTGAACGGGGTACCAATCGCCTTCGGGACATAGCCATGTCTAGGTTTGAGAATGACAACAGAATCATTCGGTCCAAACTCAAGACACGCGGCGCTGGATGAGAGCGCGTGAAGATCCCCCACGCGTTTTACTGAGGACAGAGCCGTCAGAAAAACAGTTTTGAGCGAGAGGTATTTTAGGTCCACAGACTCGAGCGGTTCGAACGGGGGTGCTTTCATAGCTTCGAGAACTATAGAAAGATCCCAGATAGGAACCGAAGGGGGGCGCGGAGGGTTCATCCTCTTAGCTCCCCTGAGGAAGCGGATGACTAACTCGTCTTTGCCCAGGGACTGAGCGCGTCGGGGTTCAGAGAACGCCGCGACGGCTGCCACGTAAACCTTGAGAGTGGAGGGGGACCTGCCCTTGTCCAGCATCTCTTGAAGGAAAACAAGCAAAGACGGCACCTCGCATGACCGTGGGTCCAGATGTTTGTCGGTGCACCATTTTGAGAACACAGACCATTTAGACGCATAGAGCCTTCTCGTGGAAGGTGCTCTAGCCTGTATGATAGTGTTTCTTACTCCTTCTGGCAAATCGACGAATAGTCGTTGATCACCCATGCATGTAGCGCCCAGCGCCGTGGATGGGGGTGCCAGATCGTGCCGCGAGCTTGAGAGAGGAGATCTGCTCTGACTGGGATGGGCCACGGGGCTGTCTGTGACAGCTGAGTGAGCTCCGGAACCCAATTCTGACTCTCCCAACGCGGGGCTATGAGGAGCACCGAGTGGCGTGTGTCCCTGATCCTCTGAATTACCTGTGGTAGCAGAGCGATCGGAGGGAATGCATAGAGCAGGCGGCGAGGCCATTCCTGGGCTAGCGCGTCCTCGCTCCTTTAGAAAAATATTGGGCAGTGAGCGTTCTCTTCTGACGCGAAGAGGTCCACCTCTGCTCTGCCGAATAGCCGCCACAGTATTTGGACCATTTGTGTGTTCAGGGACCATTCTCCTGAGGAGATGAGGTTCCTGGACAGTATGTCTGGACCGTCGTTCAGATGGCCCGGCACATGCGTCGCTCTGAGCGAGAGCAGGCGGCTCTGAGACCAAACTAAAATGCGGTGTGTCAGTAGGAAGAGATTCCTGGACCTGACACCGCCCTGACGGTTGAGATAGGAGACCACAGCCATGTTGTCCGAACGGATCAGGACGTGGTGTCCCCGAATGAGCGGGAGGAAGCGCGAAAGCGCGTTCTCGACCGCAAGCATTTCCAGACAGTTTAAGTGTAAGGGGCTTTCCTGTGTCGACCAATGGCCAAAGGCCGGTGAGCCCTCGCAGACTGCACCCCAACCCGTGTTGGATGCATCTGTCGAGATGACTTTTCGGCGGGAAAAGGTCCCCATCGTGACGCCCTGTCGAAACCATTCTGCTACTGTCCATGGCTGCAGCGCCGTGAGACATGTCTGCGTAACTCTGATCAGCTGGCGGCCCGTGTTCCACGCGCGGTGGGGTACACGGCTGTTTAACCAAAGCTGAAGCGGACGCATGTGCAGAAGGCCCAGCTGAAGCACAGCGGAGGCTGAGGCCATGAAACCCAGCATCCTCTGAAAAGTTTTCAGAGGTGTGCGGGTGCCCATCTGAAACGAGGCGGCCAGTCGCTGTACACTGCGCGCGCGCTGTGTAGACAGGCGAGCCGTCATCGTGACCGAGTTCAAATCTATTCCTAGAAAGGAAATCGATTGACTGGGTTGAAGGGAGCTCTTTGTCCAGTTGACAGAGAGGCCCAGCGTTTTCAGATGGTCGAGGAGAACTGCGCGGTGCGACAGAAGCTCCGTCTGCGATTGGGCCAAAATCAGCCAGTCGTCCAGATAATTCAATATGCGCAGCCCCTGGCTCCGCAGGGGGGCGAGCGCCGTATCCATGCACTTCGTGAATGTGCGGGGCGCCAGGGATAAGCCGAACGGGAGAACGGCGTATTGATAAACATGACCCTCGAAGGCGAAACGTAAGAATGGCCTGTGACGGGGATTTATCTGGATCTGAAAATAGGCGTCTTTCAGGTCTAGAGAGATGAACCAGTCCCCCTGGCGCACCTGCGCGAGGAGTTTCCTGGTAGTGAGCATCTTGAACGGTCTCTTCATGAGCACTTTGTTCAAAGACCTGAGATCTAAAATCGGTCTGAGGCCGCCGTCTTTCTTGGGAACCAGAAAATAACGGCCGTAAAACCCCGACTCGGTCATAGATGGTGGGACTCTCTCTATGGCGCCCTTTTGCAACAGCGTCGCAATTTCTGCGCGGAGCGTGCCGGCGGCCAGCGGGCTGACAGTAGATTCGAGCCGCGCGCGCGCACGAGGCGGGCGGCGGCGAAACTGTAGCAGATAGCCGTTCTTTATAATGCTTAGCACCCACGGGGAAATGCCTGGAATGGCTTCCCACGCTTTGGAGCATGCGGCTAGTGGCCGAATGGCTATATCGCCCTGATTGCTGCACATAGCGGGCTGGACACGGGATTTGCACTCAGAGAGGAGTCTATGGGCCGTGAAACAGAGCGAGCAGAGAGGGGACACGCGCACGAGCTCGTGGGCGTGTTTATGTTCTCTGATATTAGAGCGGGCTGTGCCCGTTTCATGTGATGAGGCTCTGAGAGAGACACGGGATATGTTATGCTTGTGTGTATGGGTGAGCACATGATTGTGGGCACATTTTCTACACAACTGGCAAATTTTCTCTTTTTGAGATTTCTCTGGGTAGCCGTAAAAACGGCTTTTTGTCGCTCGCAAGCGGGCTGGGACACCGGCTTGTTTGTGGCGGTCAACACTACAGCAGTCGGCGAAACAACGGGGACTGGCAGAGGGCGAAGCTTTGACGGCGGTCCGGCCGCAGCGGGAGAGCACCGTCGTTTTCTTAACTTTGCTAGGCA